TCCGTAACGCGAGTTATATTGAAAGTTGTGTGTATACGCACTAGTACTTGTTGCGCTAGGAATTGTAGTTTTTTTAGCATAACACGTGAACGCGGTTTCATAATAAGTTCGGAATAATTTTCCCAGATGCAGAAATTAAATCTGTATCTCCGTGTATGCAAATGTATTGCAAGAAAATTCCGTAACGCGAGTTATATTGAAAGATGTGTGTATACGCTCTAATACTCGTTGCGCTAGGAATTGTAGTTTTTTAGCATAACACACGAACGCGGTGTCATAATAAGGTCGGAATAATTTTCCCAGATGAAGAGTTTAGTTCTGTCTCTCTCTGTATTGAAATTTTTTGCAAGAAAATTCCGTAACGCGAGTTATATTGAAAGTTGTGTGTATACGCACAAATACTCGTTGCGCTAGGAATTGTAGTTTTTTTAGCATAACACGTGAACGCGGTTTCATAATAAGTTCGGAATAATTTTCCCAGATGCAGAAATTAAATCTGTATCTCCGTGTATGCAAATGTATTGCAAGAAAATTCCGTAACGCGAGTTATATTGAAAGATGTGTGTATACGCTCTAATACTCGTTGCGCTAGGAATTGTAGTTTTTTAGCATAACACACGAACGCGGTGTCATAATAAGGTCGGAATAATTTTCCCAGATGAAGAGTTTAGTTCTGTCTCTCTCTGTATTGAAATTTTTTGCAAGAAAATTCCGTAACGCGAGTTATATTGAAAGTTGTGTGTATACGCACTAGTACTTGTTGCGCTAGGAATTGTAGTTTTTTTTATTTAACACGCGAACGCGGTGTCATAATAAGGTGGGAATAATTTCCCCCGATGCCGAATTTAATTCTGTATCTCCCTGTATTGAAATTTATTTCAAGAAAATTCCGAAACGCGAGTTATATTGAAAGTTGTGTGTATACGCACAAGTACTCGTTGCGCTTGGAATTGTAGTTTTTTTTAGCATAACACGTGAACGCGGTGTCATAATAAGTTCGGTATAATTTGCCCAGATGCAGAATTTAATTCTGTATCTCTCTGTATTGAAATTTATTGCGAGAAATATCCGTAACGCGAGTTATTGAAAGTTGTGTGTGTGTGTCGTAGTACTTGTTATGTAGATTAAGAATTAGGGGTAGACGTAACTCGTGTTCAGGGTACCGTACGGAGATAGCGGTAGAAGTGACTCGTGTTCTTTTACGAAGGTAGCGGTTGAAGTGACTCGTGATCAGGGCACCCTACGAAGATATACTTATTTTGCCTATTTTAATACTTTATTTTATAGATATATTATTAGTCGCGGTGTTGTAAACATCAATTATTTAATTAACTAAGATATACAGTAATCTTATTCGAAGACAATTACGAGTAGAAAATAATAAATTATTTATTTGTATTGGTACATTACAAATTCCTGTTTATCTATATTCTTATTGCGTCACAAAACCAATATATTCTTTTCTTATGTCGAGAAATATTGAAAGTAAAAGTAGATTTCGTATATTGTGAATTTTTACTTTGGTCTTCTCAACTACGTGTTTACCACTACGTTTGTGTATAAACAACTTTTTTGTTCGACTGACGCTACGTACGCTATCGCTTATCGCTACGTATCTGCCTTGTACCTGGTTTCGCGCAGCGCACACGGCAGTCGTTTCACCGCGTGGTCCGCGAACGCGTGTCTCTAATCGTCACGCGTTTTCAGACTTAAATTATTCAATTAATCATCGTGTGTTCTTTTCGTCATCAGCAAAATATTCGAAACGAGCATGTGTGCCTGCTTTGTTTGATGAGTTGTGGCGGTTAGACTGTTCCTAAGTGAGAAATAAGTGTCCGTTAATCTCTGCGCGAGTTTTCAGTTGATCAGAATCAGATTTATTTCTGGGTCTAAAATTTCTGCATCAATGCACTGGTACGTGTTTAATCACTTTTTTTCGCGGAAAGTTAAGACGGTTTAACTTAAATTGATTATTCCATTTGAGGGATATTATTATTTTCTAAGTTGAATACGTAATCCATGGTTTATAAAATGTATTTATTAAAATAATTTTGTGATTTTCTTGGATTTTACAATTTTGTATGCGAGTTTTACATGTTTCGCCCTGTGGGCATCATCAGAAACTCGTCAGAAACGCGTTTAATAAATACATTTTATGAGAGATATTAATTTTGCAGATTACAAAAACATGGTAGCATTTTTATCAAAATTCTTAGTCCTGGTTCCGAAAATAACATGCATAATTTAATTATTACAAACACTGTCTTAAAAAGTATCTGAGGATTATTAAAATGATAATATTCATGTGGTTGACCACGCTCACTTTGCCGTCGACCGACGGCTCGTTCCTCTTTTCGCTGAACGAAATCGAATTACACTCCTTATCATCATTAAATTAAAAAGTTTCTTGTTGATCTAATAAAATCTTATACGTTGAATAGTTTTTCGCTATAATAGTTTCCATATTGTATCTTAATATTTACAAGTAAATAGTTATTTTTATCGTATTTACATAAGCATGCCGTCTGCTGATTTGGATGTTTTCCGCCTGATGTTCTATCAATTTATGATGACCCGTCGGTTACCTTATGCAGTTGATGCTATCAACTGATAAATATATACACAATATATTAAAATGTTAGTGTTTTATTCTTGTAGTAACATTTTTACTTAACTTTTCCGATGATTTTCGGGTAAAATCTTTGAATTTATGTTAAAATATAGTTGTTCCGGTATAAATTTCTCTCGTCATGATGTGAATGTTGATCATATTTGTAGTTTTTAAAATTTTCCTTTTGTATCACCTTGTATATATGTTTTCCTAACAGTACTTTAGTAAATAGCCTTTATTTGTGAGTTTTTAGTGTTCTTTGTTTTAAACTTGGGATTTTCCTTCTGGAAACTCTGTATATTTGCTTTTCTTTGTATCCGTGAAAACTTTCCTTCGGTTGTGGTTTTAGAGATTTTTTTTTGCACTTTAAGATTTTTGGTAACACCCTGTTTAATAGTTTCCCGGAGCATCGGGTGGAAACGAGCAATATTTGTAGTGTTTAGATGTTTTCCTTTTTGATGGTTGAATTTTCTATTTGTGACACCTTGTATAATAGTTTTCCTTCACATCTATGAAAATTTTGTTTTGACTGTTATTAGAATTTAACTTCTAGCATTTTGAATTTTCTTTTTGTAACGCCCTGTATGTTTGTTTCCCAGAGTAACCGTGAAAACCAGCGATATTTGAGTGTTTAGATGTTTTCCTGTCTGCACTTAATTTTCGTTTGTAACACCCTGTATATTTGTTTCCATTTGCAACCACGAAGAAAATTGACTTTCCTAATTGCTTTATCCCGCTAGAACTTCACTAAGTGGTAGGTACGCGCTTGCTTGCGTAAGTCTTGTTTCAATATGGCGGCATGAATTTTGTTGACTTGTAAAATCTATACTTGTATTATTTTACATTGTATTTATTAATAAAGAAATGTTAAGAAATATTATGTCTTATGCTTGGAATGTACCCCTTCTATCATTTCTGGTACAGGCCTCTAAGAGAATTCCCTCTCTCAGGGGATGATCCCCACTATAAAAATTGTTAAGGTATCCTGTATGATTTGTGTACTCCATCTTTCATTTCAGCTACAGGTCAGAACTTGTAAGAATATTTTTAAGTGTCCCCTCTCTTGAGGCGACTTAAAAATTAGAAATATTTTTACAAGTTCTTAAAAGGATGTCCTTATAAGGAGTTCCCTCTCTCTGGGGATGATCCCCCACCATAAAAATTGTTGATATGCCTGATAATTTCGGGGATGAAGCGCAGAGACATCGTAGCTGTAGGATGGGCCGGGAGCAATGGACGCATCGAAGTAGTGGGACCGTAGACTGTCTTATAACGACACGTGCCAAAAAATTTTAAAATTTCATCCACTCCTGTTCTCTTTCTTCTATCTCCTCCTCGACTCTACTCTACTACTCTCTGTTCTCTTCCATCTACCTTCTTCTTCTCTACTACTCATTCTTCTATTTCTCTGTTCTCCCGTTCTCCTTTTACTTTCTTAGTTCTCATGTTGCCTTCACTTATATTTCAATTTCTCTTATATTTCGTTGCAATTCATATATGCAACCCAAATTACACCAGATATTTTTATATTTTAGAAAAATGCCTACTATAACTGAGATTCGATCCGTGTCTGCTAGCATGCCAGCAGGTGCACGTCTCCACTCGACCACCGAGTGTTTTTATCATTGTTATTTGATTCTTCTATATATGTTTCTGTTTTTATTATGTTTTTAAAAACAACAACACAATTCAAGCAACAGCAATGCATTGTACACGCTTCACGCACATAAGATTTATATACTATATGATTTAAGACACCGATACTGAAAACAACAAAAGGGAAGCCACAAAAAATAAGAATTAGTTTATAATATTACAATGTGTTTTATTGACAACATTTAAAATACATATATCTTTCAAATAAAAAAACATTGACGAATCTCAAATTTCGCAGCAGTAAAGACTTACCTTAAAATGCGCATCTCCAATACTTCTTTCATGGTTATTATTGTTATACATTTTAAAATAAATTAAAAACCCTATGCTACCAGTAGTAGTTTCGCAATTACACTTGGTAAACAAAATTATCAGGTTGTCATGCACAGCTATGAACCTGCTTTCATGTGCAGCAAATAACATTTAACACTAACTGCAACATGGCTGTACAGAATCAAAACACCACACACATTAATTCGACAATACAAATTTGTGCAATATATCTACAGACTAAAACAAGTTGGTAATTTCTACATTAAAGTATTCCACTCGAAACATGTGTCTTTGCATTAAAAACAACAACATTTGCATTACAACAGCAATAAAACATAGTGTCTACGTTTTACACAAATAACACAAGCTACATTTATAAACAAAACACAAATACAATATATCTACAGATTAAAACTAGTTCCCAAGTGCAACGCGGATAACACAAGTTACATTTATCAACACAGACGATTTAGCCATTAAAATAAACTTCTAAGTTCCACATGAATAATACTAGAAGACGACATTACTTAAGTGTCCCGAGAACACGTTGTAAGGAAACTTAGAGATGCTTTTTTGTTAGACTTGTTATATTTTCAACAAAACTCTCTCCAATACAGGGCAAGAAATCATTTTGTCCGGCACCATAATCTGTGTAAAAAAATTAGGAAAACATTAAATTCTATCACTTACAATTTGAAACAAGTCCGAAAATCCTAGTGCGTTCTGAGGAAACCAAAAGACGTTTATCGTCATGAACGCGATAGGCCTGTGCAGATTAATAGGTCGCTTCCACATATACCTGAGGTGAAAACAAAACCAAATTAGCATAACAACGAACAAGGAGGAATTCAAACAATTTACATCCAATTTACTCACCTTGGTACTGCTTCTCACGGCAAAGTAGACAAGAATTAGAAAATCAATTTAACAGCCCATCTTTAAAAACAGTTCTGCTGTTCTTAAGACGGCGCTCCCGAGAACTATGAGAAAAGAGAATTAAATATAGTAGTTTATAGTAGTATATTTTATGTACAACTTCTAAGGCTCACAAAGAACACAAACATTTTTGTAAAGATTACTTCACCCTTTATATGTGTGTAGGACAGTAAAATATTCCTTATTTCTATTTCACTGCTACAGTGATAGAATTATAACACTTCACATTGTAAAATAGAAATGTAAATTTTATATATATATATATGTTATATGTATTATATTTTATGTATAATTGTGACAACACACCGGGGCTAAGCTAACACACACGTGGATTGTAAGCGTACTTTACACTTCATAAAACACGTTTATATGTCAATATACTTATATTTATTTCCTTTTATGTGTTACAGTGTTATAATTGTAACTCAACACCATATAAAATTAACCTAATAATTATATAAGTAATTACATTAACTTAACACAAACAAAAATAAAACTTTAAATATTTATGTTTTATGTATTATATTTTATGTTGGCATTCGTGGTTGGTGTAATTGTGACAATCTACCAAGGCTAAGTTAACACACACGTGGTTTGTAAAGTGTTCTTTACACTTTATAAAACACCTTTAAATATCAATAAACTTATATTTATTTCCTTTTCTGTGAAACAGTGTTATAATTGTAACCTAGCGCCATATAAAATTAACCTAATAATTATATAAATTAATTTAATTACTTAACAAAAACAAAAATAAAATTTAAATATTTATGTTTTATGTATTATATTTTATGTTGGCATTCGTGGTTGGTATAATTGAGACAATCTACCGAGGCTAAGTTAACACACACGTGGTTTGTAAAGCGTTCTTTACACATAATATAACACGTTTATATGCCCACGAGTCAATAAAATTATATAGAGCGAGAGCCAGTGACGGCCAGACTTTCGTCATTTTAGGAAAGATGAAATTTTGTCCATGTGTTTCTCCAACACAGGTAAGAACGATCCCCAATTATGAAACCTGGATCGTGGTTCCTTTGGCAGTTAACAGCCAACAAAGATGTACAAATGATGACCTCAAATTCGTTATTTTAGCAAACTCCATTTTTACATATTTTGTTCGTCACATTATTATAACATGCGCTGCTCATTGCCAGTCACCTGGTATGGTTCCAACCCTAGCCAGACACCCCTAAAGTATATTTTTTTTAACTTTTTTACTTTCGTTATATTAGGAAAGCTGAATTTGATACACATTATACAGAGAGCTATAAAACTGTGTTTTCCAGCACACCAGACAGTTTGGTCGGTTCTATCATCCTGCCAGACGCATTGAAAGTGTTAAAAGTTGCAAAAGTTAAATTGTTTAAACATGAAATTTTCAGAGTTATTTTATTTGAACAAATATTTAATAATAATCATCACTGTCGTCGATAACTGTTTTCTGAAAATTTCATGTTTAAACCATTTAACTTTTGCAACTTTTAACACTTTCAATGCGTCTGGCAGGATGATAGAACCGACCAAACTGTCTGGCGTGCTGGAAAACACAGTTTTATAGCTCTCTGTATAATGTGTATCAAATTCAGCTTTCCTAATATAACGAAAGTAAAAAAGTTTAAAAAAATATACTTTAGGGGTGTCTGGCTAGGGTTGGAACCATACCAGGTGACTGGCAATGAGCAGCGCATGTTATAATAATGTGACGAACAAAATATGTAAAAATGGAGTTTGCTAAAATAACGAATTTGAGGTCATCATTTGTACATCTTTGTTGGCTGTTAACTGCCAAAGGAACCACGATCCAGGTTTCATAATTGGGGATCGTTCTTACCTGTGTTGGAGAAACACATGGACAAAATTTCATCTTTCCTAAAATGACGAAAGTCTGGCCGTCACTGGCTCTTGGTCTAATATTTACCTACTTCCTTTTCAGTGTTAGGGTTATAATTGTAACAAAACTTTTTAAAATTAAAATAAATAGTTATATAAGTTATTTTGTTAACTTAATATCAACAAATGTATTTTTTTAATTATATTATTTATTTTATAACTTAGATACAGTCAAATTTCCACCAAGTGTTTTGAAAATTCACACAAATCGTAAAAGTTACAGAGCGATTTTAAGGCATTTATAGCGTGATGTCGGGAGACGGCAATGTCGTATCGCATAAAATGGCTATCGCTTTATATAAATTTGAAAATATCATTAAAATCGCACAAACGGTTCTCGAGATACAGCCAAATTTCCACCAAGTGTTTTGAAAATTCACACAAATCGTTAAAGTTTGAGAGCGATTTTAAGACATTTCTAGCATGATTTCGGGGGGCGGCAATGTCGTATCGTATAAAATACCTATCGCTTTATCTAAATTTGAAAATACCATTAAAATCCCACAAACGGTTCCCGAGATACAGCCAAATTTCTACGGAGTGTTTTGAAAATTCACACCAATCGTAAAAGTTTGAGAGCGATTTTAAAGCATTTCTAGCGTGATTTCGGGGGAGGGCAATGTCGTGTCGCATAAACTGCCTATCGCTTTATATAAATTTGAAAATATCATTAAAATCGCACAAACGGTTCCCGAGATACAGCCAAATTTCCACCAAGTTGATTGAAAATTCACACAAATCGTTAAAGTTTGAGAGCGATTTTAAGACATTTCTAGCATGATTTCGGGGGGCGGCAATGTCGTATCGTATAAAATACCTATCGCTTTATCTAAATTTGAAAATACCATTAAAATCCCACAAACGGTTCCCGAGATACAGCCAAATTTCTACGGACTGTTTTGAAAATTCACACCAATCGTAAAAGTTTGAGAGCGATTTTAAAGCATTTCTAGCGTGATTTCGGGGGAGGGCAATGTCGTGTCGCATAAACTGCCTATCGCTTTATATAAATTTGAAAATATCATTAAAATCGCACAAACGGTTCCCGAGATACAGCCAAATTTCCACCAAGTTGATTGAAAATTCACACAAATCGTTAAAGTTTGAGAGCGATTTTAAGACATTTCTAGCATGATTTCGGGGGGCGGCAATGTCGTATCGTATAAAATACCTATCGCTTTATCTAAATTTGAAAATACCATTAAAATCCCACAAACGGTTCCCGAGATACAGCCAAATTTCTACGGAGTGTTTTGAAAATTCACACCAATCGTAAAAGTTTGAGAGCGATTTTAAAGCATTTCTAGCGTGATTTCGGGGGAGGGCAATGTCGTGTCGCATAAACTGCCTATCGCTTTATATAAATTTGAAAATATCATTAAAATCGCACAAACGGTTCCCGAGATACAGCCAAATTTCCACCAAGTGTTTTGAAAATTCACACAAATCGTTAAAGTTTGAGAGCGATTTTAAGACATTTCTAGCATGATTTCGGGGGGCGGCAATGTCGTATCGTATAAAATACCTATCGCTTTATCTAAATTTGAAAATACCATTAAAATCCCACAAACGGTTCCCGAGATACAGCCAAATTTCTACGGAGTGTTTTGAAAATTCACACAAATCGTAAAAGTTTAAGAGCAATTTTAAGGCATTTATAGCGTGATGTCTGGGGACGGCAATGTCGTATCGCATAAATTGCCTATCGCTTTATATTATTTTGAAAGAATCACTTAAATCGAACAAACGGTTAACGAGATACAGCCGAATTTCCACCGCGTGTTTCGCAAATTCACAAAAGTTGTAAAAGTTTGAGAACAATTTTAAAGCACTTCTGGCGTGATTTCGGGGAGCTGCAATGTTGCATCGTATAAAATGGCTCTCGCACTATATTAATTTGAAAGAATCATTTAAATCGAACAAACGGTTCACGTGATACAGCCGAATTTCCACCGCGTGTTTAGCAAATTCACAAAAGTTGTAAAGGTTTGAGAGCAATTTTAAAGCACTTCTGGCGTGACTTCGGGGAGCTGCAATGTTGCATCGTATAAAATGGCTCTCGCACAATATTAATTTAAAAGAATCATTTAAATCGAACAAACTGTTCACGCGTTACAGCCGAATTTCCACCGCGTGTCTCGCAAATTCACAAAAGTAGTAAATGTTTGAGAGCAATTTTAAAACACTTCTGGCGTAACTTCGGGGGCGGCAATGTTGCATCGAATAAAATGGCTCTCGCATTAAATTAATTTGATAGAATCATTTAAATCGAACAAACGGTTCACGAAATGCAGCTGAATTTCCACCGCGTGTATCGCAAATTCACAAAAGTAGTCAAAGTTTGAGAGCTATTTAAAGGCAGTTCTAGGATAATTTCGAGGACGGTATTCTCGCATCTTATAAACTATCTCTCGACCTATATTAATTTGAAAGACTCATTTAAATCTCACAAACAATTCCATAGATACAGCTCAATTTCCACCACGTGTTTCACAAAAAATATAAAAGTTTGTGAGCCATTTTAAAGAATTTCTAGGGTAATTTTGTCGCATCGTATAAAATACCCTTCGCGCTATCTAAATGTGACAATAACACTCGAATATCAAAAAGGACACTCGAGATATAACCCAATTTCTACCGTGTATTTTGAAAATTGTGAAAAATTGTCGAACTTTGCAGGCCATTTTGGGACATATTGTGCATAATTTTACAGGAAGACGTAAGTGCGTTATCAGTAACAGCCTTCCCTTGTCTGAATGAGAAAACAACATACTGCGCGTAATGTTCATTTTGGCGGAGGCGTATTATTATTATAATACACGTAGAGATAATAAAAAATATAAAAACGAGTCCCGAAGAAGTTCCCGATTACCCGGAGATCTTGCAGAGCTGGCACGCAACTATCCTGCGCTATTGCAACTTGCACGAAGAACGCGATAAAAAATATTTATTTACAAGGATGCATTAAACATGTACTTTCACAAAATATGGTAGAAAATTATATACTCACCAATACATTGTTCAAAGGACCCCAATGCTCAGAAAGTACTGTAATTAAATAAAAACATAAGTTAGAACATTTGATATTATGGTCACAAATAAAAAATAGAACTTGTTCCACAACCTATGTGTACAATATTACAACTTATGTTACTTACACAAGAACTAATACAAAATTAAATTCAATCCATCTCACTTGACGATAGGAGCTGCGAGGAATATGTTGCAACTCGTCCAGCGACGAACACTGAACAATCCGAGCCTAGCAAGCAGCAACGACACACGATAACGGACAATGTTTTTACTCGTAGTTAAATACGCGGCCATTTATGAATTGCAATAAATATTCACAAAAATCGCAAGAAGAAAATAACTTGTGCTAAGGGACTTTCAGCGCTCGAGTAACCAATGTTAAACGAATATAACGTGACTTGTCAAATATGCAGAAATATTTTAAGCCGCGAGGAACACGTCTTAAATCACGAGTAACCGGCACGGAACTAGTCCCACCCAACCGAAACAGCAAGCCGAGTATGCAGCTACGGCGCACGACAGTTACTGATAAGAATGAAAATGAAATGCGCAAGGCGGTGTGTCGACGGCACGCGATTTTGTTGCACGAATCAATAGGCACAATACAATACATTACATACAAAATTTGATAATTTTTATCGACGATTTTCGATAATTAATATCTCTCAAACTAAAAGCTATAGCTACCAACGAATAGCCGATTATGAAAGATTGAAAAATTCGCTATCAGATTAAAATATAATATAATTATATTTCCAACAGCAAAAGGTAAAAAAACGCGACTAAAACTGCTAAAAAGTGACATTTTTCAATTTTTGTCAATTTTATTCAATCGCGATTATCTCATAAACTAAAAGAGATAATTAAGATTGCATCGCAGCGTCTTAATCTACGGATTATTCTCTATAAGATAGGCTAGTTAAAGCGGAAATCTGAGAGATGAAATTTTATTTCTTAAGAAAAAATTGCCAAAAAGGTGCTTGATAATTTTTATCAACGATTTTCATAATTAATCTCTCTTAAACTAAAAGAGATGGCAAGCAGAAAATTGTTGATTGTGAAAGATTGGAAAATTCTCTATCAGATAAAAATATAAAATAATTATATTTCAAACAGCAAAAGGTCAAAAAACGCGACTAAAAGTGCTAAAAAGTGACATTTTTCAATTATTGCCAATTTTAGTCAATCGCGAATATCTCGTAAACAAAAAGAGACAATTAGGATCGCATCGCAACGTCTTAATCCTCGGACTATTCTCTACAAGATAGAATAGATTTAGATTTTTATAATAAACTATTACACCTAATGTAAAATTGTTAGTTATATTCATGATTTGAGAATTGATGAATACTTGCTTAAACGATACCAATATAAACTGCAAGATGTGATATTTGCAGGTAAACAAACTTATCTCTTGTGCGAAATCGCGTGATCGCACACGGACACAGTGTGCACTCACCACCACCGACAAGCAATATTTAACGCGAAAACGTGCATCGTAGTGCCATCTAACCGACTATCTAGTAATGGCAGGTTTAAATTTAAAACAAATTTTATCAAATATGCAACAAAGTTGATATTGCATGAAAATGCCAGTCATAAGCAATTTAATAATGCCTATAAAATCTCAAATATTGCTTTAATTTATACTCCATGATACAATATAATAATATTACATTCACACATCGGAGAAAAACAAACATTCGAAATGGTCAAATAAAAGTTACTTACTCAAGCACGAAAGGACCGCCTAATGACGAAAAACAACATGGCAGGAATGTATCCGATTGACCGACAAAGTCACACGGTAACCGACCATAAAACCAGCAATCTTGTAATTTGAAAAATGAACATCAAAACCGAGCAAAAAAAACTTTTATGAACATGAACGCACAATTAATCACTAACATAACACTGCAGATGCATGTTACAACTAAGTCGATTGATGACCGAACATACTCGAAATGGAAATTTAGAAAATAGAAGACCGATCACATGATACGCGTCGCGGGAAATACGTCTAGATACTCCAGCGACCGGCCTGCAACTGACTGCAATCCATCGATAGCGCTTGCCGAAACTGCACGCGCAAGAATGCGACAGTTCACAATAAGACTCTGTGCCTGCTGCATAAACCCGACAGGTAAAAGCAATAGATGCACAAAGCCAGCGCGTCGATGCCACGCAACCTTGAGCGCGAATTTGCAATAGGCACAAAATCCGGATCTAAACCATAGAAGAAAGTGCTGCACACGGGATATTGCAGATAGTGCTGCCAGCATGGTGAGGCGTAAGGTGACGGCGATGAATGCAATAAAAAAGTTGTTTATAGACAAACTCAGATAAAAGCAAGCACAAATGCTCACGTTTGTCGATGAATATAAAAATAAGAAATACAAGTCTATTTTATGATTAAAAGTGCATCATAGTCCCATCTATGAATGAATGTGATAGTAGTGCCATTATTTAAATTATTATATTCTACACCAAATATTTACGTTTGAGTATTAGACAATTAAAAACAGGTTGCATTGATTTGAGGCGACCCAAAGTAAGGTAAAAGTCATAGTAAGTGAGTGGGGAAGGACTGCACATACCTTTGCATCTGAGCAACCACGCAACTGTTGCGGGCACACCTTCCCCCACTACATTTTGCGGGTCTGACGCAGGTATAAAAGGGCAGCACGCAGGAACCAAAGTGCTTTGTCTGATTTGTCCAGGCAGTTTTTAGGTTCTTCTCATCTCGTTCTTCGGGTTGTTTTAAGCCAGTTGGGTTGATGGATGTATCATCTCGGATCGAATATGATCCGTAGTTTTGCAATTATTTATTTATTATTTTCAGATATCAATGTTTATTAACAATTTGATATATTTTAAATTTAAACAATATCTTCACGCTTCTTTTCAACTCATAGAGGGCGTTTGTTAATATTGAAAGAATAACCTAAAGTTAAATGTATGAACATTGTATGTCTCTATAATAAACAAACTTTATAATCCGATATTAAAATGGCAAACGAAAAGGGCAACTTCAGACTGCCGTACTATGAAAAATGTGGATTTCGAGGCGAAGAAAAGAAGTCACTTGAAATAATCCTCAAGGATAAACCATTAGACAAGATAAAACTGCAAAAGTTTTGTGTTGGTTTTACTGTGCCAGCCATCTACCGAAATTTAGTGTGGAAGCTCCTTTTAGGTTTGAACTAATTTAAAACCTATTTAATTCAAACCTCATTAAAATAAAGCACAATTACAGAAGTAATACCTGTTTATACTGACTCCCATGAGTTTGTCATGGAGCAGAGAAATCTGGAGTACAAGGAACTTGTGAGAGCATTACAAACTATGAGAATAATTGATGCCTGCACACCTAAAACACATGTATTTTATGCTGCCTGGCTGCTGCAAAGTGGCAGATACAGTTACGAATGGACACAACCACAGCAGGATGATCAGTTTATAATGTTAGCACATGTTTTCCTACAACACTTTGATAATGAGGTGGATATTTACTGGCTGACCAAATATTTATATGAATATATCATCAAATACAAGAATGACTATCCAAAGTTGATTGATAGACTGTGGAGCTTGCTGGAGAAAGAAGATAAGGAATTGTTTCTGCATTTACAACACACTGGTTTGCAGAAAGCCATTCCAATTGGAAAATGGTTTGATAGTTGTTTTGCTGGAATACTTAATGAGAATCCACTAGCAAAGTAAATATTATATAATATTAAGAAGTAATTTATGTGTAATTTTGTTTTAAATTTTTAGGATTTGGGATAAAATTTGTGGTGGATCAGTAAAAATTCTCATCTTTGTGACAATTGCGTTATTAACGATACAAAGACACGAGCTACTTAAATGCACAACATTACAGGCTTTCCTAGACTGCCTAAAAAATGTAATTAATACTATAAATCTAAATATTTGCTGTTCCATAACAATATTTGCATTGTTTTACAGATATCAGAAGAGACAGCCGACCTAATTGCAGTGAAATCCATTGAAATGTGGCAAAAACACGGCAGTCCAAAGAATGTCAATGCCAATAATAACTCTAATAATTGATTATCATAATTATTATAATTTAGGTCTTGTTATAACTTAAAAAATTCAATCAAATTTAGATTATGACTTGTGATTTACATTTAATATACATGAACCATGCCATAGAGGAATGTCCAGCATAGAATATAAGTGAATAACTGACCAAAGAAACCATTTGTGAATACTTGTCTCCTGGAAACAAAATATTTGTTGAATTGTGAGCCTGCCTTTGAGATGATCATGAACCAGAGGAGGAATACTGTAAAGATGTAGAATGCAGCTCCATACAAGCCAGTTAATCCAAGTAAACCTAAAATCATTGTAATAATAGTAGATTTCAATTATTTTAATTGATTAGGAAGTGAGTTATTATACCTGCTGTACATCCTGATAATGCAGCCATGGATGTACGACAATATTCGACAACTGTGGCATTGTTACGGATTGCTGCTTCGCTGTACGCTACCGGCTGCACGTATTTCTCAGATTTATTCTTTGTCGACATCGCAGAAGAGCGTTTTAATTGATTAATTAACTATTTAGTATGTGTGATGACAGCGATTTTTCGTTTCAACTTCTTAGGTTATGTGCTACGTACAAGTAAACATACAGGGTCTTCTAAACTTCTCCCAAGTGAAAAATTAATTAAACTGCTTCACTAAACGTACTATGAGCTCAAAACATGGAAATCTTTAAGCAAGCAGCAATATATTAATTAATAAGCTTCAAGATAAAGTTGTACAATTAGTAAAATTCAAATATTTCCAAAGTACACATCAATTCATCTTGACTAGAATCAATCAGCAAAAAGCAGAGCATTACAATTTCATCACTTCTGCCATCTGCGGGCAAATAGCACTAAATTTTTATCAAAGAGACCCAATTTTAAATGTCCACAAGTAAATATCTTCGCAAAAGTGAAAATGCGCAACAATCGGCAAACATTTTTCACTAAACAAGAACAATGTCATATCGAATTTTTGCGTCAGCGGCAAGTACAAGTAACAAAACAATAAATTAAACAACGGTTGAATCATCTAATGGTACGTGGGTGTTCAGCCCACGGCACAAAAGCAGTGCAATTCAATAATTCACCCCACTTCGCAACGGACGCTTCTAGTAGCAAGTCCGGTGAAGTGAAACAATTAATTCTTCCTCGGGTTACCAATTCGCATTGTCTTCACAATGCATTCAACGAGGAATCCAAAAAGTTGCCAACAATTTCAGATCGATTGCGATTCTTCAACGTGGAGGAACAAGACCTAAACAAAAAAAATATTCATTTAATTTTTAATTCATTAATACAAAATGTGGTTTTGTTTCACTTCTTTTATTATTTGTGATGTGTGTTGCCTAATCGACATTTTCAACTGTCGATATTTGCAAAAACGAAATAATTTTTTAAAAATAATAAATTATATCAAAACAAAACACAAATTGATTTATAATTTACCATTTTCAATGTTAACAAGCCCGTAAAGCCTCTCGTCGGTTGATATGTCTTCAGGATGATGATTGCCATTCGCAAGTGAAATCAACTGATAATACCCTTCCTCCGTCCCAGCCACATCACAAACCTCCGCCAGGAGATTAACATCCTTCTCCGCAAAGTTCTGCTTTTCCATTTCCATCATCTCCGAGTGCTTCTTACGCTGATGTTGCAATAATTTCGCTTTACTAGCGTATTGCCGATGGCACCAACAGCAGGCCTGCGGACGCGTCGTAAAACTACCAACAGTCTGCGAAAAAGTCGGATTCGGCAAATCCATAACTTTACTGCTTGTATCAGCAGCACGGTGTCCCAACGGCAGCGCCAGTCCCGGGTGATTTTTCAAAATATGCGCTTTACGCTTCGAACTCGACTTGTAAATCTTCTCGCAATAGTTACAATAATAATCCTTGGTGATCCTATAAATAGGCAAGTTCAGCTCCGGAACTGTTTCAGGACTCACATCCGGATGCCGCTTTGCGAGGTGATTCACCAACATTCCACGACGTTTGAAACCCAATAAACAAGCGTGACACTTATAGATAAATCGATGATAATCCGTCGGTTCAGTTTTAACTTTGCGTTCGTTTTTTTCTTCGCCGTCTTCGTTGTGTACCTTCTTGCAATGTTCACGGAGTTTATCTTTGCGTTTGAACTGTTTGCCGCAGTCCGCGCATAAAAACTCGCGATGATCCGAGTGTTTCAAAGTATGCATACGGAGTTTATCGAGAGTCGGGAAGGCTTTATCACAATCAGGACATTCATGCACTTTATCGCAATGGAAAGCCCTGATGTGTTTACGGATAATGCTGTACTTAACGAAAACTTTCTTGCATGAAGGACACGTAAATTTTCCGTCAACGGAATGTTTCGTCACGTGACTTTTCAGTTGTAGAATATGCTGGAAACTCTCTTTGCAAATCGGGCATTCGTAAACTTTAACACCGAATAAGTGTGTTTTCAAATGACAAGACAGCGCGGAACTATTGAGGAAACGCTTGTGACATTTATCGCATTGCAATGGTTTGGTTGCCTCATCGCCGTGAACCATCATATGACGCTGAATGCGATCACTAGTCGCGAAACCTTTGTAACACTTCGGACATTTGTATTCCTCTTTTTTCTTCACTTCTGGTAATTTACCTTTATTCGCTTTAGGTACTTCTGGTTTTGATTGCTTTGATTGTGTCTGCGTCTGAGTATTTCGGCGGTTATTCGACGCGAATTTGTCGTCGTGTTTCTCCAAATGTTTCTGAAACTCTTCGGAGGTAAGAAATTTCATGGGGCACTCGTAACAAGGCCACAGATCGTCTTCGTCTACTTCCGCTTCCAAGACGGGGAGGTTTCTGCGCAAGGCGTAACTAGAACTATAGCCGACAAGCAATTCTTGCTTAGCGTGAATATTCTTAGTTGTAAGAAAGTATAAATGGTTGTCTTGTTGAAAGAGAACCAGGTTTTGCTCGGAGTGTTTCGTGGCGAGTTGAACAAAGCACATCCAATTAGATAAATCTACATAAAAACAATTTTTACATTAAAAAACAATAAAATTGATTGAAAAAATGCATATCTTACTATCATTTGTAACATACAACCGCTGCAAAACTCCATTAACATCAACGGAAAGATGTACTTGATCCTGCTCGTATTTGATTTGATCCATGGATAAGACACCTTCGATCGGTCCGAACTTGGTTCGGCATGGAATGAACTTCTTTGCAAATACACTTTCATCTATAATATAACACCAGCAATGCAAGTATTAACGATATTAACACCATCATATTAAATAACGTAACCACAGTCCATTTACACTTTTCATCCATTATTCCCTAATTAATTAAATTAAATTTAATTATGAACCAGGTCTTGGACAAGTCGGTCTGTCTTTTATAAAATAAAGTAATCCACCAAGCAGTAATGTAAATATAATGAGATTTAATGTAAGTAATGTAGCAAAAAGCTTTTCTGCATTTGTGAACTTGGCAGTCATTTTAAAAATTTGACTTTTATGACAAATTTTGATTTTATTGAATGTAAACAATTACTTACCACCGCGTTGATTTTTGTTTATAACCAAATGTGAAACAGGCAACGATGCTCTCGCGCGTGTCTGAATCGGTCGATCGCATATTTGCTGCACAGCCAGAACTAAATCCTCTTCATGTTCAATAAACTCATTATTCTCTTTTGTTTTCAAAATTTCCTGCCCTAAAGTTTCTTCTGTTATATTCTCAGCAAGTTGAGATTTCAAAACATTCTCATCCAGTGATAATAAATCACTATCCAACAAAACATCTGTGTCCATAAGTTGAGAATCATTCAAACATCTCTCAACTAAATAGGATATCCCAGTAGCCTGGTCTGTGATCAGAATATCAACATCTTGATCCTGATCAGGCACCATTTGAATGTTTTGTACCACTGGATGTGAATTATCAACCATTTGTAGGAAATCATTTGGTGATAATTCATTGGGTTCAGGTTGTTGGCTGGTGTTTGTTATTATCTGTTTAACAATGCCACTTTGGTTTGTTGTCTCAGTGTACATGGGACTGTAAGGTGTGATTGCATCCATATGAGGGTCTAACATGTCCAAGTTCTGGTCAAATTGGTGGTGAGTGTACACCTGTGAGTGTTGTTCAGGTGGCGGCTGCATGTCGGTCGTGGGTAATTTGTAGTCGTTCTTGACGTATTCGACGGCGATGCAGAGCACCGAATCGTTGTTTGGCCAGTCGAGGGGGCCATCGGTGCAGGGCTGCAGAGCCCCCTTAATGCTTTGCATCATTTTGTCAATCTATCCATACCAAACTGTACAAACACGCCAAATTAAATTATTTAATTCAGAACTGGAGTAATTGCGGTTTTATTTCTCTTACCTTCGAGAAATTGCTAGGTTTATTTAACAAATGAAAATCAAATCGGATCGGAAATTTGTTAGGATCCACCATTACAGTTTCGCTTGTTGACGTGCATTGTTGCCATTTACATTCAACGTTTGACAATGAAACAAGTGAAAACAACGCAAAAATTTAAATTAAACCGAACAATATTTAAAATTTTACGTAAATTCAAATAAAAGTACAATAAAATTATTAATTTTAAATGTTTATATCAATTTTATACTAAAATTCTCAAAAAATCACATTTTTTCTATCAAAAGTTACTTTGTATGCTGGGTTGCCTACACGTAGCCATTTTGAATGAAACTACAAATGTAACTTTATTTCTTTGTTTTATAAGCACAACTCCCACGAACTTTCTTCCCTCTAAATCGAACAATATTTGGCAATAAACTATCCCTCAAATAAATTCCTCTACCTTCTGGCGTCCATCCTTGAACAACACACTTATTCGCAGTATCAGGTGTAATAGCAACCCATCCAGCACTAGATAAAACTAAATCAGCACAAGAAGTATCCCTATCTAATCCCGTCACAGTAAACTGTTTAGAAGATTGCAACCCAGGCCACAATTTCAACCTATCTTCATTATTAACCGGCACAGCAAACGCATCCGATCTTAATAATTCATCATATAAACTATCCGCACTTTCTGTTTTACAAATCGTAATCGGAAGTGCATAGGAAGCAAAAACAGTAAACCTACACTTCCTCAGTCCTTCACAATAATCAATCCTTGCAATTCCGGCTATATACAAACTCGTACCGGGTGATAAACTAAAAGTCCTCGATCTAATCAAAATATTCGGGAAAACCTTCATTAATTCATCAGTAGTAAAATGATGAATAATTTGTTCCGGCTGGACAACTCCGGGTGTATCATAACACCACTTAGCGAGTGCATAACGCTTATCTTTCATATCCAAACCAACAGGTTTCAACGCGCCACCATGCGAACGCATTTGCATCGCGAAATTATCTTTCGTTTCATCAACAGGATCAATATCCGTGAATGTCCGCTCGATTTTACCAATCACCGACGCATATTTTGGATTTTTGGTCTTTTTATACATCCTCTGCCTCAATTCGTTTTCTTGCTTCTCAAGATGTCTAGCATTCCCTAATCTTTTATGTCTCGCGTATAATCTCCAGCCTGACGGGCGTAAAATAGGAAACTTTAACAAGTTTAACGTCGTTCCTGGCCAGGGACTTGTTGTGGCACGTTGAAGTAAATCCTCAGCTGCATGTTTACAATAATCAGATTGTAATAACGCGTTGAATAAACTTGACTTTCCTACATTCGTACAACCGACAATGTAGACATCACCCTTGTATTGCCATAGAGAATGCAGACGTGTGATTAATTCTTCAATACCAAAACCAGTTTTGGCCGAGATTAATCCTACGTGTTTAATGTTTGTCATTCCAAAACCGTTTTCCTTCATGGAATTCACCAGATTCTCTTTTACTCTGTGTAAATATCCTTTTCCATCGTCTGGTAATAAATCAACTTTGTTTCCAACAACGATTATTGGTCTTCCTTTGCCAATGAGATCCGAAATCCCCGGCCATATTGAACAAGGAAAATCTAATAAATCCACCATGAGAATAACAAGCGCCCGGTCTTTTTCAGCAATTTTTTGTAAGACTTTAGGATAGTCATCAGGAGATACTCTTACTTGTAGTGCCATGTTATAGTGTTCGAGAAAATGACATCTTTGACAATGTATACCTTCTAATTTGATTCCGCCGAGTTTATTATATTGTGTGAATATTTCGGATGGGATGTATCCGGGGATTGATGTGTCTCTGCAGTGTAGAAGTGCTCCGCATCCTCCACAGGGTACATTACTGGTTGGGATATCTGGTGCGGGTGTTCCGTAGTTTATTCGCGTGCTTGTTTCTTCAATGTCTTCGTCAGCTTGAGTTGCATCTTGAGCAAGTGGGAAGTTTTCATAATCGTACATCCATTTTAAATGATTATTGGGTTTGTTGAGGAGTTCCAGTCGAGTGCGGATTTCCATGTTCGTTTCATCTGCAGGAGATGATTGTGGTTTACTGTCGGAAATACTTGTGAATTCTACGGATGCGTTTGTTTCTTTGAATGGAAAGTGAACAGGATTTTCTGGGTCGGTTTCAGGTTCAGGAGGATCTGCAGTTTTCTCTTCTTGTCTAGAATTTAATAGGAAAAGTATGTTAATAAGTAGTTCTTATTTGTAAAAATTAAATAAGCAAGAGATTTTCTTATGAATTTTTGATAAGATTAACGCCGAAAAAGTTTAAAATTCATTCACATGCCTATAATCTAATGTGAAAACTACAAGTTTTCAAGTTGAGCACTATAATAACAACAAAATCTGTAAAAAAATCGTAGACTACAAAAAAAAAACCAAAAATCATATTACAAGAACAAAATTGTCCACGCCAAAATACCGGCAAAGCAAAACTGCGCATTAGCCGAAGAACTAACACATAAGAAGAAACTTAAGCAAAATATACAATACTTAAGATTAAATTAAACAAATAAGTAGAAATCTTTATATTATTTAAGCTACTCACATTGAATTTTTTGCAGATTCCATAAACTTTAACATTAATGGTAGAGGTTCATGTTGCCTTAGTTGCTGATTAAACTGCGTCGCCTTTTCCATCACATCCCTAGCAATGACATTCCTTTTGTATCCAAGTCTAAGACGATTCCTCTCCAGATAGTCACTGTAGTATATATCTTCTTGGTGTTTTTTAAAGAGTTTTTCTTCTTTGGTGAGTACTTCATCTTTGCTCACAATTTTTGGAACAGTGCTCAAGCATACACATTTTATGTGAGAAAAATTTGTGTTTACACTTCTTCGGTAAACGTTAAACAATAATAGATTCATTTTGACTAATATTCGAGCTTATAACACATTATTTTTGTTTTATAAAAGTTTTGCAAACACTTAAAGGTAACCTTAAAAGAATTGCATGGCCAAACATAAAATGTATGCAACCAAACTGTCTCCTCTAATGTAAAATCATTCCAAAATTAATTTTATCTAAACTTTTTTGAATAGTTGTTAAAAACAATCGAACTTTGCATGGTAAGAATTATATGGGTAATTATTTAGCTATAATTTACATGATTAATTAAAAATAAAGATATTAATGTAATAATCAATGTTTCACTTTAAAATCAATACATTTCTTATCCAACGGCGGAGGTGACCAATTCGACTACATCTGAATTCGGTGATCGAACAGTCAACTGCATTGTTACACCTTCCGCCAACGCTAATTTCGCACGAACTAAAATATCAAAGCCACCACGGAAAACCCCTAAAAATTTGCAAACAATGTAATTATTAAGTTATCAACTTACAAAACAAATAATTTCATACCTGCTAATAATAAAGTATGTGTAGTTTTACCCTCCTGCACACGATCCGTCTGCTCGGATGGCTGCAGCCCCAAAAACTGAATAATATTCTTAATCGCTTCCTCCAGCGAGCCCATCGTACTCAACGAATAAGTATCATCCATCTCAACCATATTACTCGCAGCATCCTCCCACGCCAAACCCCAGTTGGCCTTATTAACCCTCTGAATCTGATCACCAAGTGTAATCTCCAAATCCTCCAGCATATACTCATCATGATAACTATCCTCAGAATCTGGCAGACCTGTGCTGGGATCACAATCCTTCACATCAAACTTTAATACTGCCCCAAAGGTAGCAACAGACGCCGAGAGATCTTCCGGGAATTGTAACACAATAAAAGTCGATCCAGTCTCGTTGTAACACAACTTCAGACACGGTATCTCCGAAATGATCTTATAACCCTCACTCGGGTCCAATTGTACACGGACATTTTCCAAAAGTTGATCAGCCAAGGTATTTAAACAATCAAACTGCAAGACCAAGAAATTCGCATAGCAGTGCTTAATACAACGCACGACATATTCAGTTTCCGACTCGGTGAGCTCAACAACATCAGAGCTACGGAATAAACTTCCAGCTTGTTGAATGCCAGGAATCGCCGAGAGTTTCGCAGCGAAGTTCTCTTCACGTGAAACTTGTGGCTTTTTCTGCGCGGCTGTATTTGTAACGAGCATACCTTCCTGTGCTTTCTGATTAGCAATGTCACTCGGTGTAGGAACAGCTTGCAGAGGCACACTCTTCAAATCAAACGCTGTCAAACCATCACCCTGTATATATTCCCTTAGAGAACGCTCCAGAGAAGCGATGGAAACTTGCGGACTCTGAATAATATAATTTTCATACAATCCCGGATCAGAATACGACAAAATGTTACTGTAGTAAGTCGCACGATCACGGACTTCATCATCAGTATCCATTTGACACCTCGCAAGTAAAACAAGAATATTATCCAGGAGATCCGGACAAGTAGCGCCGAACTGCGCCATGGCGGAAACAGCCGCAGCTCGGAATGTTGGATTCTCAAGAATCACGCGATTATAAATAAACCTGATATATCTCGATGGTTGTTTAGTCCTGGGTCCTTCCTTTCCAAGCAGATGCAGAATCCTCACGGCTAGTGAAGTATGCTCACAATCCTCAATGAATTCACACAAATGCGCCAAACCTGTTTCCTTCGCTTCTGGATTATCTTCAATTATAGTAATGATTGTATCAGCAATAGATGCTTTGTATTCCAACCCGCCTTCATCGCGTAACATCGCCGAAAGGAAACTCATCAACACGCTGTGTTTCCGCGGGAATTTCAAAGACAACGCGCGGATTGCTTGCACAACGACAACTTTGAACTCATCGCTGATTTCAGAGACAAATGTTGAGATTTGTTTCATTAATCTCTCAACGGAAGACTCAGCGCCGGTTTTAAGTAGTGTGGTAATCGCAAGAGTTGCAATAGATCTGTTGGAATCAGTGATTAGATTCTCTAGATCCATATTGCATGCTGTAACGGCGGATAAGTGACTGATGGCGACTTGATTCAAAGTGCGCACGGCTGCGAATCTTAGCGTGGCTTTGGGTGAACCGCAGAATAACTGAAGGACAGTTATAGCAGCGGATAATTCACGCGGTGTTGTGCGTTTGAGGTTGACAATTGCATGCGCTGCTTCGTAGATGACCATTTCGGACTTGTGGCGAATGCAACTCTCGATAAACTCGAAGAATGGATAGTTATTATTGCCTTCTTCTTCTTCTAAAAGTTTGGCTGTCATTCGGATTAACATACACACGGCGTATGGGGATTTAAGCGATGATTTTGTTAATTTCGCCACGAGTTTGTTCACGGCCAAACGATCGGTTTTACGAATGTGGTAGAGGACTCCCAAGGCGTGATACTGAACCATTACGCTAAATAATATTAAATTATTATTACATTAATTAAAGTACGTGTTTTTTTACTTACTTGTCACTGTTAACTGCTTCCTGGGCTTCATTCACATAACGCTTGACAACATCATTTGCTTTTTTCATCATGTGCAGTGAGCTGACAAGTGCTGCACTGCTCACAGCTGAATTTCTATCAACAATTGCTTGCTTCATGTACCTTTCAATAGCTTGCAACATGGTGGCATCAGTGATGCTGCACAGCGCCCTGATGGCTGCTGCCCTGTATAAATCCTCCTTGCCAGTCATGTCCTTAGTCAAAGATGAGGTAACAATAATGACATCATCTGCTAATGCACTAAGCTCCTTGATGCCTAGGTATACCATTCGGCGCAATACAACATCCTGGGATTGGAATAACTTTGTCATTGCAAAGAAGCATTCTGTTGCTTCTGTTGTGCTCAGTTGTTCACCCTAAGAATTTTTATGTTTTAGAATGTTATTTATGAAGATTATGATGATTTTTATACCTGATTTAATATGTATAGAATCATTGTCATGATCCTAGTGCATTTTTTGGGATTGACGGGTGTTTCGTTGAATGTGCGGCATTCTTGCAGTACGGCAGTCTTCTCCAGCATTGCAAACATTGCTCCTGGGGTTTAAAGAAGAGATTGAGTGAAAAACATTGTAGATATAACCAAACTAATGTTTTACCATCTTCCTCCTCCTTTTTCTCTTTCTTGAAGGACCCCATATTGGGAGAGCCGGTGTAGCAAAGCGCACTGTCCTGCGGGAGTGGTAGTTTCACAGAAAATAAAGGTTGTTTCGTTGCTTTTCCAGCACTGCAGTGAACTCCTTCGTTTGCCACAAAACACCGACACGTCACGTTCCTGCCGAACTGCCAAGTGACAAAACACAACTGACCAATCGGAATGAAGGAAATTTGAAATCATGTACAATGCTTTGATGTTTGCTGAGAATGTGTATGTTTGGTTGCATATGTATACATATTACACAAGCTTACAAATTAGTTATAACTATTTCAAACCGTTTATTATGTAAAAATATAGTGTTTTATGCATGCAATATTATTTTAAAAGAAATAATTAACATAACCTGAAACAAATTTTGTTTTTAAACTAATTTTACAGATGATGTTATTTAATTTTTATGTGTTGCGGCAAAAGTGCGTGATCAAGAAATGATCGCCCATTTAACACCTATTTTTTCATTTAGTATTTTTATTAATTCTGTCTTTGATTGATCATGTGCTTTGTATCCAAGCGGTGCCTTTAACAAGTATAATTCACAAAAATTGCACATTATGACCGCTAATAAATCATCATTCATCACATTAACAAAGAAACCGTTGGACAGTCAGTTGAACAGAAAAAATGTTTGTTTTAATACCGTTGAATTAAATTTAATTTTTAGGTTCACTGATCGATTTTTATTTTGGGATTAGCAGAAACAAATTTTCTGAACTTGTAGTAATACAACACGTCCAAAATTTTTAATCTAAAACTAAAATAAAATAAAATTGAAATTGTCACTTTGGAACATTTATGTGAATTTTATGATAGGAAACACTGCAATATAATAAAATATTTAAAGTCGTGTTGGGAATAATCAAAAATAACAAAACTTCAGTTAAAAGGAAAATATCAAGTTTAACCAATTGTAAATTGGCTGCAACCAAATATACAGCATGCGCAACACAAGCCAAATAACATCAGAAAATTAGTTTTAATTCTCAAGTTAAAAACTGTTAATTTGCTAAAATAAAATATCAATTCCAATTACCAATTTAAAAATATAAACCAACACATTTGAATACATTACATCATCATCATATTTAGATGATCATCAAAATTTACTCTGTTGCCAGCGCTCCAAACTACACTAAACGACGCATTTGAAATTGGTGCGAGAGAAGGAGAGAACCGAAACATTTCACATTTCTTCAGTTTCTTCACGTGCTGCCATAGCTCCCAAACCGCTCTTTGCTCCCTTACTCCTCTGTATACTCCCTGGTTGAGTTGTTTCACGAGAGCAGTCAGCGAATAGTCGTCCGCTTGCATCGCTTTCTCTGCCTGAATGAGCGCACAGCGTGCGTCATCCGCTCGCAGCTCACAACACAACAGAAAGTGAACCAAAATAACAAACTTAAAAAAAGAAGAAGCGCGACGCGAAATTAAAACAAAACGCAAATTTACGCTGGATTGACGGTTACTCAGCTCCTCGTAATTCGTAATAATACTCAAGTGAATTCAAGCGGTTACATGTTGAATCATTCATACATCTTTAATCCTCATTTAGTGCGTTCAGCAAAATAAACTTCCGTGCGTGATAGTGCATAGTGTGCAAAACTAGCGCAAGTCGCATTTAACGATGACGACTTGTCTTCAATGTTGACACAATTACCTATAAATGGAGAAATGCATTAGCCACATTAGCAAGCGGAGCGAATGTGCATGCACGTGAAATAATCAACACCAGCACGAAATCGTCGTCGCAAACGGTCGGCGTCCGTTCTGCATTCGGCACGTAAGTTAATTTTCGTCCTAAGATTAGAACCCAACAATACATTCGGTTACGCATATCGCGTTTCATTTGTTTCGTTTTTTCCCATTATTCACACACATTCTCATTTGTATTCATTCGTGTTCATTACTATTCATATTCACGACGTTTCTTTCAACTCTCATGCTAATAATCGTCGCTGGCTGGTTGTGAAACGAAAGTGTTCCACTTCGCATTTCATCTTATGGTGCGATTCTGTGTTCACCACTTTACAAACGAACGTACGAAAGCTCCAAGACGCTTCGTACGGCGAAGTTATGGATCGGCCTTAAGTGGTATTCTGTGCGCTCATCTGTATCTTTACCTAAAGTCAACCCCGCTGCACCCTAAAATTTGACAGAAAGCGCGCGAGTTTCAAATGTATGGGTTCTTCAATTATTCAAATATGCAACAAATATGTGTTAATACTTATTATTTCTATTTCGGTTCAATACTGACGTTTGAAAAGTCGCAATCAAAAGTTGTTATTGTTCATTGTTTTGATTTTTAAATTACCTTTGAAGAAACACAATCAAAAAATATAAATAATCTTTTATATGCTACGTATTTGGCTCATTATCAGCAAATACTTGTGAAAAATTGACAAAATATTTATCTCAAATTTATTGTTTTAGGAGTTTTTTTAATTTGAAATTTTTGCTTGAAAACGTGGAATTTTTCATTTGAAAAATACAGATACACTCGATGCGTGCAATTCTTTGTCATCTTCATCTTTTTTCACATCTGCTGAGCACACGGCTCGGCAAAATATTCCACTTACCAATTTCGATGAATAGGCAGACTGAGACAGCAGACGACCGAGTGCGGTTGTGAGTGAGAACGAAGAGCTGCGGTAAGGCAGTTTCACCCGCGCCAAGAGAGCAGCGCATGCGTACAACATGTTACGAAGGCTATCGGCACCCTCAAGCTGCTCGAAAAATTGAGGCGACCCGAACCCTCCAAAAGACCTCCGTTGGGCACTCAGAATTGCAATCTGCGTTCGTTCGACAGTACGGCACTTCGGGTGCTGCTCAGAATAACACCATTAGAGTGTTACACGTTTGAATGCAAGTTTAATTCATAGATTCAGTTATATTAGTGCTGTGTGTGCAAACAGTTGGGAGATTAATAAGTAAACAACTTTTGTTTTGTGCCGACCTAGGTTAGGTTATTGGCAGGTTGACAGTGATTTTCTTGTTGCAGGTTGATTTGTTGATAGCATCACCATGGCTACACCGCAAACAACTATCGAGACTGTGACTATCACAAGGCCACTCAAGGTAAACAAAACGTAAAACACACTTAGAGATAATTATTTTATACAGTGTTAACGGAATTTACATTGAGGGTTGTTGTACGCATGCTGGAGGGTCGCGGCTGCGCATTGCAATTTATACAGTATCATTAAAAATAAATTCTTTGAATATACAAGAAAAAAAGATGGCGTTTTCTAGAAAGTGAAAAATATTTTATACTTATACAACCCACAATACACACATCGCCATTTTGTTTCATAACCTACTAATCTACGCTTTTACTACGTAAATTACTTTATAATATGAGTTTGATAGAGTTATTACAAAAGTTTTTCAATTTGAAAACTTTAATTTAATGTTTTTTCTAGTTTTAATGTTTCTTTGACATGAATCGGATACAATTATTCGCGTATTGTGAGTTCTCGCACACCCCGTGTGGGGTCGGCTGCTGCTATTTTCGCCGATCGATTTTAATCGCGTCGGTGTGTTGCGCCGCGCGCGAGGGTAGGGTCTGCTTCCTGTTCGCCCGCCGTCCGCACGCACCACGTTCGCTGTGTGCATATTAGTGGGTAGCGGTCCCGACGTCCCCGACTAAATATCCGCCACCCTCGCCTTGTGGGTCCCTTCTGCGAGCGCATCGCGCAGCTGTCGCGGCCTGGACAAACTGTTCGCGATTACAATTCAATCCAATCCCTGCGCCTGCACAGTCAACAAACGTTTCGCAAAGTAAAGTAAAGTGAAGTCATTGTGTGTGCGCTCCGGACCCTGATTCGGATTTAGTCGTCGACCAGCTTTTCATTATTCTATATATATATTTTTGGTTCGGTTTTGTGTTTGGTGTTTTGTGCGTCGTGCACCTGGCGGAATAGAATTTCGCATTGCATTGAATCAGTGCGCTTGCATTTGTTTGTCCAAACATGATTGTTGAGAAGTGTAGTGTCTGAGTTTGTTCCTTTCATTGTGGATTGAGCAATCGAGTGGAACATTTGGACGATGCATCATCGGCTGCTGATGGCAGCCAGCAGCTACCTTTTCGATTTCACGCGGAGTGCGTAACTGCCGCCGCTGGGTCGTCCGTTTGCCGCCCCCGCTTCCACTGAATGCGCGCAGATAAGTGTTGAGGCCGAGTTGAATTGCCCATAAAATTAGATTTAATGGCGGAGAATCAGATTGCACAGGTAACAGAAAAAGTTCCGAATTCTTTTCGTACGGTTGAGCATCCTTGACATTCAGATGAACCATCCATGTAGAAAGTAGACATAACAATAGGCTCGTTCGGTTTGGCAGGATGGATTTCATTGGTTTCTTTTATGTTTATTTTATTTTGTGTGCGTGTGTGTTATTTGCGCGGGTTTGCAGAGTTACAACTCTATTATTCGAAATCATTTAAATTGAAGAATTGTATTTTTCGGATATTTTGAGTGTATTCACGAAAAATATCTGTAGATTTATTTTTTCAACAGACACAATGAAAATTTTATAGAATTTTTTTAGACATGCTGAAGAGTCTAAATGTCAAAACATCATGTTTACACTTAATATATTCAATATTTTGTAATATTATAATGATGTTGACATATCTTTGCGAATTCGGAGAGCAGTTTAATTTCAATGAAGTATTTTTTTCTTTATATAATCAATAAAATCATAAAATACACTTAAATCGATATAAATTTGACTTTGCACCCTTAAATGACTCCATAAAAGTCTAAATGTTTAAACTATTTCATAGAATACTTATTATCATTTATAATACTTGCCTGATTATAATTTTTCGGGAAAAAAAATCGAAAATTTCATTTTTAATATGCTAAATATGCCTCTTCTAATATTCTTTTAATATAATCATAATTTTGGCATAATTGAGTGAATTTTAAGTGATGTTTAATATCAATAACACTACTAATTTACTATATAAATATTTAAAACTAAATACAAGCAATATTTACACATAAAAATGCTAGAAGTTTGATTTTACACTATTAAATACCTTAATAAAATTTAAAAATTACAAATTATGCCACTTTTTCCATAATTTACTGAAAAATTCAACAGAATTGTAAAAATATATTGCTTCCACTTCCAATTTCGATTTTACTCTACTTGATGTTTACTGAGTAAATAAAATAGATGTAATGGCAAAGTAAAAAGAAAAGAAAAACAAGCAAAAGTCAATTCAATATCAAAAACAAGTAAATATCAGACAAAACCAACATTCCGGTTTGAGTTACTCGATGACTAACCAAACAAGCTTCCCAATTAACATTCAATCATGCTTTTTTTCCTTGAAAAATCACTTGTTTCACTTGTATTAGTCAACCAATAGTCCATTCATTTCAAAGTGACGCGCGCACTACACGACTAATGACATCATATTATTATACGAGTGTAAATGTTGCATTCAATACCATTACTATTGAAAGAATGCATTTTCTGCTACACTTAAGTCGACCGATAAGAAACTTGATTTAATCGTGTTTATATTTAAAAAGTACACATTTTTCCGCACCTGTAGGCGCATAGTGCGTCTGATATGCAGGCAGTTATCGTTTGTACTTCGGCCGAGACTGAATGAGTCTCAGAGCCGCGTTATCTATATTTATATATCGTTTAGTGTTCATGTTCAGGTATCCAATACATTAGATAACGAACAAACAGTGTACTAGTATACTACAGCTAAGAATAGTTCATTTGGAGTTTGAAAATGTCTGAAATCAAAGCTCGGTTAGCAGTGAAAAAACGCGCTATAGAAATGTAAAGTTTTTATACATTTTTCTTCTTAACTTTAATATGAAATTTTAAAACATTGATTTAATTTGTTGTGGTTTTAGGTGATTGCATTTATATGCGGCCTGATCGTGATCATCCTGATGATCATGGGTCTGGCATCCACCGATTGGTTAATGGCGGCTGGATGGAGACAAGGCCTCTTTCTGCACTGCATCGAAGAAGGCGCACCACAACCGCTACCCTTCAATATGCAGGAACCTGTTGGATGTTACCCATCACGAGATGCTGGGTATATCCGTGCAGCTGCAGGTCTTTGCATCATCACACTCCTCGCGGACTTGGTAGCTACAGTTCTAACAGGACTCGGGTTACGTACAAAGGAACATCACACTAAATACAAGTATTATCGGCTTGCTGTTGTTGCAATGGCAATTGCACGTAAGTTTTCTGCTTGTTTTTATTAAAACATTTAATATTTAACTGGTTTTTAAATTGTATTTTTAGTGGTTGCGATTATAATGGCTCTGGTAATCTACCCAGTCTGTTTCGCTGCGGAATTAAACCTCGGCAATCGCACGATATGGGAATTCGGCTGGGCGTACGGCGTCGGCTGGGGCGCCGCCATTTTCCTCTTCGGCGGCATCGTTCTCCTCATGTGCGATAAAGAATCCGAGGAGATTTACTACAAGGAAAGAAAGATCGTTCATCATGAGAACGACTCGAGAGCCTAGTGGCCACATAGTCTGCCCGACGTTGTTCTCTGATCGTAAGGACGCGTTTCCACAACGCGTCTCGCGTTTCAATCAGACGTGACGACGATGTATACAAGACGCAAGAAGAACGCGCTTCTCTCTCGTGTTGTGAGTGATATGAATGCGAACAATGTATGCATGTGCGTGTATGCGGTGATCAAATGTAAAATGCGTGTGTGTGTTGTATGAATGCCTGTTTGTGAGGCTGTGATGATGATTATTTAATTTCGTTTGACATTCGTGTTTTGTTTCGTGTTTTTGTTTTCTTACATTCAATACGTTTATCATTATATCAATTGAGTTGTCTTTCAGTTGGTTACACACACACATTGTGACACGTTGCGTTTAGTTGAGACGAAAAAAAATCTAAAACAAATTATGACAAAAGATAGGAAGAACAAACTGGTGATAAATATTTGTGAGTGAGTGCATGATCGCGAGACTGAGAGACAACCCGGGCAGGCTAGCTGTGTGTTCACAAGACTTATTACTAATTCACTAAGAAAACAAACAAAAGAAGAAACACTACGCAAATTGATAGCATTAATTAAATAATTCTAGTACGCGAGCGCGCAGGGCGGCTGTTTAAGTCGAGACGATGTGAAGACAAAAACAAATGCAAACAAAACCAACGTAAGTAGTTGTAGGAGCAAATCAGCCGAACACTGAAGTTTCGTCTGCTTTGACCGATTTTTCCCGACACATGTCTGTTGATGTCTATTGAGTGAGGGCATTAATTAATTTATTACTTTTTGTACGTCGATTATACTAAGCAAAACATAACCAAACTTAACAATGTGAGACATATCGAAACAAAAACTTAAGCAAACACATACAATCCGTCTTTGTTGAATTTGATTCCATTTAAAATAGAGATATATTAGACACGTTGGCGATTCAAACACTCAAAACCGTTTAGTTAGAGTAAATATTATCGGACCAAACAAGTAATTCAATTGTCTCCGCACACGATGAAAGAAACCAAGCCAAATTTATGATAATGCGAGCGCTGCTTGTAAATTACTTACAGACACACACACAGAGATGCCGAAGATGATATACATTTGTACGATAACTGCCAGAATTCCATTGTTCCACACCTACTTGAATACTAATATTAATTAATTAGGTGTAATCTAGCATTGAGATGTCGCATAGCCGGACAGACAGATAGCGTTTCTCCATTTAACCGAGTTTGTATTACACGATGATATACCTGTTGTAGTTTGTATAATCATTTGCACACACATTCAGTTCATCGCGATGAACTGCTTCGAATTAATCAAAAGTTGCTTTATGGCCAACCTCTTTAGGTGAATTAACGCTTATTTAATTTATTGCACTTGTATATATCCTATAACACGTTTAACAGTTGATAGTATTAGATGTGCACTAGATATAGTTGCGGTGACAGAACGCGAAGCGAAAAATGTTTTTGTTTAGTTATTAATGAATTACATGAAAACCACGCAAAATAAGTTAAATATTATTTTAGAAACATGTTCTCAATTAAATTCTTCGCCCAATTATGCGAAAATTTTGTTAATCGGATTGTTCCACATAAAGTTATAAACAATTTAAGTTGCATTTGTATAAATGACTCATATTTCACTATAACTTTAGATAAACTTGTCTTATCAGTCAAATTTTTATTTGGAAAGGTTAAGAATTTAATACCGATTATATTTCCATAGAAATAATTAATTTAATTCAATTGGTTTTCTTGTAATTAATTAATAACTAAACTGATTGTTCTCGTGCTTTGCAAGATGGCCGCGACTATATGTCAAACATTTATACATACCTCAATGACGCATCCAATGAATTGACTTGATTTGTGCTGACGACGTGTTTGAACTTTGACTTGTTTTGTTACCCGAGTCCACGAACACTCTTTGACATTAAACTATAAAAATTATATCACATTGCAGTACCATTACCAGATAAAGATAACAAATTATATATAAACTATAAGATGTACTATATAAAATTTACTGATTGAATATATAATATGTTTAATTCGTACGCTAGCTGTAAGAAAAGTAAACAATTAAGCAAAATTGTCAAATATGAATATGAAGCGGAGGAGATTTAAGCAAAAGGACGTGAAATACGATACAGTAGTTTATGTTCGTAGTTTCTACTGAATATTACATACATACGTAAGTGTATGAGTGAACGAACTTTGAAGCGGATTGAAATTATTATATTCAAGTATGTAGATTATTACATATACATACGGACAAAATATCTATTGTATATGATATGATGAATGAGGTTTAATTTCTGAATAATCCAAGTTGACACTTCCAATCTCAAGTAAATACATAAAAATGTTTATTTGCGTTAATGAAATACAGAGAATGTTGGAATGTATTTGGTTTGACTGCTTTGAGTTATACTAATACAAACGCACCACATTGTTATATCTATAAACGTAAGCAATTAACGAATTGAATTATTGATCAATTATGATTGTCATTGTCATGTATCATTCATTGAATTCGAACGGTTATGACAGAATGGATAAAGCGAAAGATAAAATAAATTATTTGTATATAAATATAGAAATATGTTTGTTCTTGTTTGTTCATTTAATACCAATTTAAAATTGACTGGAATAATCAGTATTTTTGCAATTTTTTAAGCCACAACTTCGCAATCATTTAAAATTATTAATATAAAAACATATAAAAAGTGGATATCACGTAATCTACTATATAAAAAAAGCTATTCTAATCAAGTCTAATTAATTTTTATCATATTTACGTCTCTTAACTAACGTATTTTTAATATTTCAAGTTTCTAGATGATTTTGACGCGTAAATAAATAAATTTAGGAGAATATTAAACTGATTTGTAAGTTCACTCTTAAATCTTTAGCAGTTTTCAATGAAATTTAATTATTAGTCTGCTATTACAACGATTTTTAGGCCCAAAATAAGAAATTATTGGTTATACAATCGTCTTAGTCGACTATTCATTAAATCTGCATCCACAAAAACATTGTAAGCTAAAGATTCTACATTAAACTTATATAAATCACTTTAATATTTTCCTAAATCTATTTATTTATCTGTCAAAATTATCTAGAAACTATTTTCTTTCTCTAGTCAAACATGCTGAGATCAAAATCAAGACAGCGTTTTTCTCCGCCATTTTTAATCAAATTTTTATCCTTAACTGATCTCAATTTGTGAAATTCTTCATCGTAAACATCATCATCATCACTAACTTCTACATTTACATTATTATTACCTTTTGTATCAACCTTATCAGTCTTCTTCTGACAGTCATAATATTTTGAATGGCTTTCTTCACTCAATCGACTCTTCATCGGTGAACGTTTAATCGGTGTATTGCCTTCAATGCACTCATCAATCAAATCCAACATTTCATTCGTGTCACATATATCATCTTCAGGCACGACGTTTGCTTCCACTTGTTCTGGTTTTATAAACTTGAGAATGTCGCGAATTTCCTGTAGAGATGCGTGTGTTGAATAACAGGCACGACAAAAGTTGCTGTTACTTGTGGAAATATTGATCTGTTTTTCTTTGGACCAGTCTTTCCAAAACATAGCGGTTATGACAATTTTACGTATTGTTGTTTCTCCTGAGGAACAAAAAGACTTATAGCCATTACAGTAAGAGTGTATGCGAGTATTTTTTGATAGTGTAACACATTTATCCATGTTCGGTAGATATTTATAAAACTCATCATAGGATCTTTGATCTACATGCACTGGCATTTTAAATCTTTCATAGATTTTACTAAGAATAAATTCAGCACCGTAACGATAACGTGTGTCCAGATTAACGATATTTTTCGGATCTTGTTCCAACCATTCTTCGATTAAATTGCAAATGGCGCCCAGGCTTTCTTCTCGTGATGGAAACTGTTCATAGCGTTTGAACATAAAAGTCGTATCCAGATGAACTTTCTGAATTCGTTTTAAAGTACCTTGTGGAGTATACAACCCTTTGAACTTTTTAAATTCAGCTAACTTAAGTCTGAAGTCACCAGTGTAGAGCACCGTGTGTTTGTCGCTTTCGAAAAGGAACATTACCGACCCTGGACAATGTCCAGCTGGTAGTAATGTAACGTTGAATTCAAATTTGTCAGCGGTTTTCAATGTTGTTGGTAGATTTATCGGTAAGTATTGGAAACAGTTAGCGTAGTCTGGATATCGACTACGTAAGAAAATTGTCGAAACTTCATGGGAGTACAATGTTAACTTTTCGTTTGCAAGACGTTTGAGAAACTCACATTGGTACAAGCCTCTCATATGATCTGTATGGACATGTGATAGAAAATAAATGCTTGATTTTAAGTTGTTTCCTTCAAAATCGTCGATGCTTATTCCTGGAAATTCATCGATTTTCCCTTTAAACGTACTCATGGTTACAACAGAGCTTGATTACGACTGAAAAAAAGAAGAATATTCATAAAAACAAATCGCTTTATATTGAAATTGCAACGGTAGCCATTTTATGATTTGAAATTCGTAATCTCCCAGCATGCACTTACCGGATATGCATAGACAGGAAGCGGAACCCGAAGTGCGATCCGAGCGTCATCGATCACGCCCGAAGTCGCATGTTGCCGCCGTGCGCGTTGGGCAAGCTTTTCAACTCCCAGCAAATTTGGCGCAAGATTATAGGTTATTTATCTGTTTGTCGGTTAACCTAATTCAGTGATTTTCCTTCGTGTTGAATTCGCGAACACCGCCAAAGCGTAAAGTGCCCGCCGTGGGCTTTGCGACGCGTAATTATCTCACGCGGCGTCGCTTCCCCCGGCCTGCGGTAGCTAGGCGCGCGGCCGACTCGATCAGGCGCTCAACAAACACACGTACGCCATTTTGAGTGAACGAACGACGTCGCGTTGAAGGTCGACACCGATGCTTGGTTAGGAATTCAACAAAACCATCAATAAACACTCAATGTAAGTAAATAACAACCAGTAACGCATTCCGCGACGGGGTGGCCATAAATTTTCCTACAATTCTATCCTTAAATGCCATTTCGTGGATGATGTAATTTTCCTTCCCCAGCATTGACTCGCAATAGTGCATGCTACATATGCAAGCGGACGCGTATGTGCGACGCAACGCACGAAACACGTTCGTTCACTTTTTCTATTCGCTTTTTACTTTCATCTGTTAACAAAAATCTTCCGAAAGCTTTGTGTTTGTTTACATTTTTCAAAAAAGTAACCTTATTCTGGATAACCTCACATGTCAAAAAATGTTTTGCCCACTTTTGCTAACCTTACGATGGTTGTTTCGCCTTGCAGTTGCGATAATGGTGTGAAAATAAACGGACACCATGGAAGAATCGTACACGCTGACCTGGGAACAGGCCGGCGAGATCGTCGAGACCGAGCAGGTGATATGTGGCATGGATAATGATGACATGATTGCTGAAACTGTTGACTATGAGGATGTATGTGAAGAAGTCATCGTCAACTCGGAGGAGGTGGTGCCCGATGATGGTGTGGTATACCTCACCGAAGACGTTATTGTCATGGAGGACCCGCAAGAGTTTGCGCCCGATCCGGCATACATGGACTGTGTCACAGAGGAAGTTGTGGCTGACAATTGGGAGGCCTGCAATGAACTGGTGGTTGGATCAGAGGAGAATATAGGCATTGAAGATGATCAGGAGGAAGATGTGATGATACCGCTGCCGACCGACCAGGATCAATATTCGGCGATGAGGCCTTATCCGTGTGATTTTTGCAGTCGTAGGTTTAGAAAGAAGGCGAATCTAATGAACCATATGGTCGCACATCAAACCGACAAGCCGCACGGGTGTAATCTCTGTGGCGTGCGCTACGTGCGCAAATTCGATCTGATGAATCACTTGAAAATTCACGCGTATGTGCCAGAGACGGATAATCTCGAAGAGGAACTCGACGACGACTATGAAAAGATGCGCAAACGGGCGAAACCGGCGTTTATGAAGAACAAGAACAAAAAGTTTGGCAGGAAAATCAAGGACGAGCAAGGTCCTAGTTCACGGGTTTATAATTATGATGCAGATGGGCGATTAATAGAGGATAGCGCTGACGGTTCAGAGAATTTATTAAGCGGGGAAACACGGTAAGTCAAATTAGATGACAGTTTTTAATACATATGTTATAATAAATATTTTCAATCGTTATTTTTGTTTAGATACCCGATAACGGACTCACGCAAACCATTCGTGTGCCAATACTGCGGAGTGGGTTTTGCTAGAGAGAAGGCACTCGCATCACACGCACGCATGCACCAAGGCGACAGCCCATTCGAATGCCGGCGATGTGGTGAAATGTTTTGGGATGCGAATACAATGCGTGAGCACATCAAGAACAAACACGATGGCATCGAAGACGATTTCCTCGATGAGGACGAAGAGTTCTCCGAAGATGATAACAAATATGGCGAGTTCTTCTGTCAGACTTGCGGCATGACGTTCCAGCGTCAAGAGCAGCTCAAACGCCATCAACGCGTGCACATCAAGACCGAGTACACCAACGATAACGAATACCTGCACATTTGCAACGTGTGCGGGGAGAATTTCCCCGAGGCGTTGGATTTGCTCGCGCATGCTGAAGTTCACGCGCGAACACCGGAGTTCCGTTGTAATCTCTGTGGCGATACCGCCACTGATGAGCAAGCGCTGGCGGCGCACGTACAGGCCAAGCACGGTGAAAACTTGCCGGAGAATACTTGCCTGCACTGCGGTAGGATCTGCAAGGATCGCCGTGCGTTGTTGACGCATTGCTTGGAGCACTCCAAAGAGAAGACATTCCCGTGCCCGAAGTGCCCGAAGACGTTCCACAACAAGGCGCGCTTGAAGCGCCACATGTTGTCGCACCGAAACAAAGCGGTGCAGTGCGACGTCTGCGGTGAGGACTTCCCCGATGGGCGCTCGTTGATGAACCATCGTCATAGCCATAGCAGCGTGTCTGGAAGGCAGTTTCCATGCCGCGAATGCGGTAAGACCTTCGGCTCGCGCAGCTCCCAACAGATTCATATTCGAATTCACACTGGTGAGCGACCGTACGGTTGTCGTTTCTGCTGGAAAGCATTTGCCGACGGTGGTACTCTGCGTAAACACGAACGCATTCATACCGGCGAGAAGCCCTACGCGTGCGCGGTGTGCCCACGTGCATTTAACCAGCGCGTGGTGCTGCGAGAACACATTCGCTCGCATCACTCTGGCCCCGATCCCAACTTCAGCCACAGCATGACGCCGTACAGTTGTGCGGTCTGCTCGGACATGTTCTCAACCTCACAGGATCTCATCCTGCACTTGATTCATCATTGTGATTTGAACACGGCGATGCGACGCCAGCCGCAGATCGGGCCGAGGAAATACAAACGCAGACGCAAGTTGAAACCGCATGAGATCCATCTCATGGACACCGTGAACACCAACAACACGTACGGCGTGGAAGATGTCACCGAAACCATTAAGAATGAATTTTTCGACTCTGAGGATGATGCTGCAACGGCCGCTGCCAGCATAAAGACGCCATCACCGAAGAAAAAACGCAAAAACTCTACCTCCGCGTCCAAGTCACCGGAGACGTCGTACTCTGATATGTACAACAGCTTCTCATCTGCCATCGAGAACATCAACACTATTGTCAACACAAAATCAGCGAAGCCTCGAAAGAAGACCGGAAAAGAAGCGCAGACGAGCGGCGGTCGCCCGAAGATGATCCACACCCAAAAGACCAAGGTGACCATCGAGGGTGATCCCAGTAAGCTGAAGCACAAGACGAAGACGCTCATCACGCGAACTCAACACATGTCTGAATTGAAATCAGCGAGTGGAGATCGCATTCGGCCGCGTACGAAAAATGTAAGCTACCACATATTGACACCAGATAAACTACCACTGGCTACATTCGAGGATCCTACCGAACAAGCGGTAAACAGCCTGCTCGGATTAAACCAAGGTACAGATCATGAAGAAATCATCAACGGAGCAGACATTATAGAAGATCCACTACGGTCACCGACCAAGGATAGACGCCGCAGTACCAGCAGCAGTGAAGGTAACTTATCCATGGTATCTTCAGGGAATAGTCTGGCACCAGGCAGGCACATCATCGGCGGTGGCCAGGTGGTGAAATTCGTCGGCAGCGGGATGATTGTCAAGAAAAGGTGAAAATCGAGCGCCCCGATCCCGTGGAAGAGATCGAAACCGAAGAACAAGATCCCTTGGCGTCTGAGTTCATCTCTGTCAAGCAGGAGATCATCGAGAATCCGCTGAATGAGCTGGCGGAGGCGTCGATGCATCACGCACAGAGCGCGTTCAAATGCGAGATGTGCAGCGAAGTGTTTCCGGACCGGGCGCAGCTTTTAATGCACGTACCGATTCACATATGATCATAATCGCTTTGTAACGAACAGGTGAAGCCCACTTGTAGGGCTGACATTTGTATATAAGGTGAGTGAGTATGTGGCAATCATTCAGGTGCACTCAGCGGAATATTACAGAGAATACCAACACTAACCAAGATAAGATTTAGTTCGAAAAGTATTACTTTATGTTAAAGTAGTAAGTTCCCTGAATAATCGCTCACATAATTACTGAAACATTAGGTTGCAAATGCTAAATTGATGATTAGATGCATACGGATTAATCTAAACAGCCCAATTATCTATCTAACGATGAACATGAATGATGAATATACTAGTATAAGACGAGTAACGCATTAAGCATACTTTAGGATAGGCGACACACATTTTATTTCTCCTGTTGTACTGTAATTTTTATTAATCTTTAGCTTTCTTAGTTCGTAGAAGTTGCTCTGATTCGATTAAAAGAAAATTAAGATAAGTGTAATTTTTGATTTGCGCATCACGTATTATGAACGATGTACATGATTGAAAGTGCGTGGACGGTGTATCATGCTGTATGACATTGTAAATAATTTAAACCTAGGAAGAAACTCGAGGCGTTTGAAAGAGTATGTGCATCGCAGGGAGTGCGTCTCGATTTATGTTTTTAACTCTTGATTAAACGCGTAAGCATAAGCAGGCGAGACTTGTTTATTGCCTCACAGTGTTGCCAACACAAAATCCCATAAATTCCTAGCAGCTAAATTTGTTAGTGTTTAAAACGTTTACTTGGAAGCCTCCGGTGATTAATGTTAATTGCGATTCATAAAAACAGTTCTCACGTGGCGTGGCAAGTTGAATTACCTCAGCGGCATAATTTATACTCTCTTTTTTATTAAATAATAAAATATAACAAACGCAGGCGTTAACGGTAGCCCATGATAATAATCTGGTCATAATAACACATTCCTGCATTAATCTATGCTAGTCTCGTCGCCATTCTTTCATCTTTTCCAAAATGGTGGTAGCATCTTGCGCTCGGTAAATCCTCGTGCGACTCTCGAAGATTTTATAATAGTTTTTATCGGCGATGATGTTTTCCACGAACGTGGAGAACATGGACGTTTGTGTGAACCATTTCAGGAAGCGTTGTATCGTCTTTTTAGGACGCTGAATGTATCCTTCCAAGTCAAAGCCTTCATCGCTCAGGTAGTCTTTGTAATGGCCGCAGCTATGGACGAAAATACGCAGGAATGCATCGCTCAATAGAACGTTATAAATGCTACGCTTTTCTTTATTAGGCGAACTACGGTGGACCTTGGCCAAAGCAAGTCCATCTTTGAATTCTTTGATGAGGCATCTGGGTAGGATACTCATTTCATCGCCGACATCTTGTAAGAGTCGCCCGTGATCGAGATCGATTACAATCGCCTATAAAATATTATAAAATTAACATTCAACATGATAATAAGTTTATTATTTTACTTACGTCGTTGATTTCATGCTCCTTAACAACATTAACTGAGAGAACACCACAAATTAATGGCGTTGGTGCCTCGACTATTTCCCATAAATCCCTGGGAACTACTGGTATCAACGTGTGTGGCCATGAGAATGGGTAAAGAATATTCTGCAGTGCTTCCATGCATGTCGATAATCTGCCCAATTGACCACTCAGCAAAATAACCTTACGCTCTAATAATAACGACGCGAACACTTTTAATAACAAATTGGTATCTTCCAAACACTGACACAACTCCTCCAGATCATTTTCTTTATGTCTAGCATCTTGATGCAAAACAATATCCACATGTTCTACTCCACCATTTTTCTCTGTGACGCCATTTCGTACACCGCCATTGACTAACGCATAATGATGCAGAGGATTCTCTTCCGAGAACTTTATCTGGAAGGAAACCGCGTCTCCCGGACTGGGAAAACATTTCAGGTAGAACTCTTGCAGGAGAATATCACGGTCTTTATCTGGTATACCATGTCGAGATTCAATTTCCTCCAAAATGCGATTGTAAAACCGCGGCGCACGATTGCGACTCAGAATGCAGTAAGCTAAAGGCAGGCAGTTTTGTGAATCTTCAGGGAGAACGCGTCTGCAATATCCGTAAATTCGCTCGCCATCATCGTTGGTGATCACAATCGAGTAGCACTGCGCTTTGGGGCCACTGTCAAAGCATGTTGAGTCCGGGAAGACGAGATTCGCTATACTATTAGGTAATTTGGCCTGCAGAAATAAATAAAACCGTATAAAAATCAAAATGGCCAACATAACACATGTTTACTTACATTTGGCGGATACTTAAACTTGATATACGGCACCTTATCGCACAAAGTGACCAGCATACAGCAATGATACATCTGTCTCTGTTGGTGTTTCTGGCGCGACTGCGTGATCATTTTGATCGTTCGCACGTAGGTTTCGAATTTCCCCAGCATCGCTTCATCTTGCCGTTTATCTTCCGTATCGTTGTTGTTTGTAATCAGCGGCGCACCAACACCACCCGAATCATTAAAGCTCTGCTCCAGTGTGTGTCTCAACTGTTTTTCCAGTTTTTCAACACGATCGGCAGGCGGATGCACCGGCGGTGATGAAGAGTTGCTATCTTCAAAGGATTTGATGAGATCCTTGATTTTCAATGGCGGCTCATCCAATGAGGAGCGCGACGAGGAGGACGGCGTGTCGCACATCGCGATCTCATCCTTTGCGTTACCAAATAAAACAGAACACGTCCAATTAATGCTGGCCCGCTGCGTGATTCACAGATGCAATTACGAGCAATTAATCGTGCGGTTGGTAAACGCGCTGTGGTATTTTGCGTTGCGTTTCCAAGTATAACACGATCAAGTAATCGCCGGCAAAGCCTACGCGGTTTTATTATACACATGGTTCTAATTTTAGGCATTCGGCATAAACAACTTTTCATTTAAACCCAATATTCTACTCCTCTACAAGTGCAAGGTGCATGCAGACCACTACTGTTTATATTGTTATATCATAAAAAGTGTACAGAATAAAGCATGCAACTAACAAATTAGTCTACGGCGCGCTGAAGCATTCGGCAAACCATATCCCAAATCAAACGTTGTATGTTTTTGGTTGATATCTTACGTCGGTTTTGCGCGCTGCGTCCAGGAACTGGGTGTCGGCGGCTTTGTTCAGCAGCGGCGTCGATTCGGAGCCAATGGGTGTACTCTAGATAAACAACCAACAATCAGAAATGAGAGAAAGCAGCACAACAAGGATACAAGATGATAAACAAACAATGCTTGCGCGCATAAAAGTGAAAATAAATTATATAATATTGATTACCATATAGTACAGACTGTTCCTGTTGGTTTTACTGGTATTGCCGTTGTTTATATCACATTGATTTGGTTTTTCTGCATGCGTTGCCCTTAGGAAAGCAAATGGTTCAGCATAGACAGGCTCATCGCCTCTTTTATTACTACTATTGCCATTATTTAAGTCTGGCAATCGTTCGTATGTGTTATTCGTGCAATTCAACGAATGTAAACAATTTAAATTAAGTTTCGAGCGCGACGTCTGCGCATTCAAGTCCTGCAATCGTCTGTCATCTGAATTCACCGGACGCGCGTTTTTCTTTATTCGGTTCGTTTTGAGAGCGTTTTCTAGCTTGTCAAGCATGTATTTTGGGTCTGGTTTGGTAATACTGGTATTATTGCTTCTGGAATGATTGTTGTTTGCTTTCAGTGTCAAACTCTTCTGTAAATTGACATTCAACTTGGCAGCAAAATCTTTTCGGGCGTTGTTTACCATTACTGGTGAATTGGTTTGTGATGTAACAGGTGATGTAGTTGAAGATTGATGCATGAAGGTTCGTGGTGGTTTTTGTGGTGCTGGGCCTGATGGTAATGGTTTTTTCAGTGCTGATTTCAATGTGTCACTTAAAGCTTCCAATTTGTAATTGATGTCATCACTAATTGCGGTCGAATTGTGCGCGTTTTGTACATTTAGCACTTCAGTCTTGTTACTCTTGTCAGATATTTTCAAAGTTGTCATGTTGTGTATAGCATTAGGCCGTTGGTTTTTTGGTATTGGTTCCGTATATAAAGCTGTAATATTAACATAATCGCGATGATTTGCACACCTGTTTAAAATAATTTCAGCACTAGAATTGCTTCGTTCGTTCAATGCTTTCGGAATAATTCGTCGTTTGGGCAGATCATCTTTAGAATCAAAGTGTTTTCTTAACAAATTCACATTGCTGGGTTTATCACTGACTTTTAAAACGGTTTTCTTCTCTCTGTAGCTGGTGGCGTTTGCGTTTCCACGCTGAAAGGGTTTCTGATCCGACCGAAATGCTGGCGTTCGTTTCACCTTCACAGGATCACTGAGTTGTCTTGATAAGCTCGGTAATGTCTTGGTGCGTTGCTCCGGCGGTTCTTGCACACTATTCTCAGTGTTCTCCTTTTGCTCAAACTTGCTCTTGATTGACATCACCATGTTGTTACTTCTGTTTGTTTCGGCGTCCTTAAATCGATTCATTGTTCAGCACAACGCAACAGTCGGGTATTCATACAGCAACAGGTATCGTCGGCGACGCTCGCAGACGACAAACATGCTGCAAACAAACATTCAACAAGCGTTATCGTCGAAGAATTCGATGACTACGTGCCGCAATTATTTCATGTTTTGCGTACCCACGAATTGGTAACAGTAACAGCCGATGTAATTCATATCACTCGCGACGCTCCGAATTGAATAATACGTCGTTGTTAGCGATTTTTTGCAATCCGAATGCGGGTTAGGTCAATAATACGAGCACACGACAAACATTTCACCGACTGAATAAGTTTTACACATCAGTGCAGAGTACGGACCGCACAGCGAAGAGACTCGGTGTGAACTTGATTTGTTATTGTATTGTTGCGATCGTAAATGAGCCCGATCTTCCGAGCGAAATGAACAAAAAACACAGGAAACGGGTCGTTAATTAATAACAAAACTTCTTGTAGATGCTATTGTGTGCGCACGTACGTGCACGACGCACATATGTGTGCGTACGTTCGGCGTGATGTGAATGGTTGTCTGTTGTGTTGGGTGCGCAAGCGTGTAAATGAATATGATATGTGCATATGAGAAAACAGAAACATACGCAGGTCACGATCGACGTTTGCGCAGGCTACTTAACATACTACTTAAGCAGGCAACAACCAGTAGCAGCCATCAACGGCTGCAAGTTTATGTGTATAAAGGGTTACATACCTTCTATACTCCTACAATTATCTTGAAAATACTTTGTTTATGTTTGTTGGTGTTTTTTTACTTTTTGGTCAAGATGATTTCCAATAGTGCAAACTTGAGTGGTTTTTGATTTTTATTTGAACCAACACTAGAAATATATCAGCTTCATTGCGCAGCAAAAGGATAAAACTGAAATGCGTATGCAACAAACGAGTAAATAGACAATGCACGATAACGCTTTAGTTTTTTTTATTGCCACTGCCAATCATCGTAGCGCAGTGCGATTAGCATAAGTAGCTGTACTTGTCTGCTCTATGCAGGTGTTTTAGCGCAATCAACGCAATCAACTATCCAATGCAATAACCTGCTGCGCAGAGCAGAGATTTGCATTCATCACGATTTATATGAGAATTACACTTGAACGATGTGCATGTATATGTTAATTCTAGATTAATCATTTCAATGCTATTTTATTTGAATATTCACGATTTACTATGGTAAAAATGTTCTACAAAAGTATTAAAAATGGCTAAACGAATATTAAATATTAAATCACCGATGACTGTGGATGTGCTTTATTTTTATTGACCTCTATCCATGGTAAATTTTGAAAACTTGGTCTGTAAAACACTCAGTATCAACTGCAAGATTAAAATAATTTGAAATCATTCTTTCTAAAATAACAGATAAAAAGTCTCTTTATAAAATCCACATGGTTTTCATTCCCTAAACACCCAGGAAATGCCCTAAAATGTTCACCAAATATGGTCTCTTCATCTGAAACTTATTGCTACTTGTGGCGACATTTTTCATATTTTGTCGAACGATTTTATGTTGAAAGACAGGGTCGAACTTTTATGGAAAATTACTGTGGGTCAAAACACCGAACAAAAGATTTTGTCACAAAAAGTAATCTTTTTTCCCTTTCTTTTTGTTCCAAATTAAAAGTTGGCATTTTTAAATCTGTTTGTTGTCAATCATTCTATGTTTTGTCCTTCCATTGGGTTGAATTACTTATAGTATAAAATCTATATTTTTTAAACCTATATATGATTTTGGCGGAGGCGCCGGACATTTTAATTGGAGATTCTAATAAATATTAAAAATCAATAACACCGTTGTGGGCCTTTTAATTATTTCATATACAAAACTTTCGAATTAATTCTCGACTTAGTTTTGGGTAGATGCAATTAAAAGAAATGCCACCTTCCAGCAATACTTAATTTCCCATTATCTCAGAATCTAATAAAGATAAAGAAAAACCGAAAAGAGTGTTGAATTCAAAATAAAATTTTACATTAGATAAGATTTTAAAATTTATATTTGAAATATATGGAAAAATGATTTTCCGACGCGATTTCCTCGGAAAATATAAAAGATACAGTAAAACTTTTTCCACTTTTATCATGCCACGATTAAGATCTGTAAAATGGCAGATTTAGATTTTTGATTCTAAGAAATTGACAAAATCCACCCGAAAAGAGTCAAGAGGTTACACTTAACTATTTTTTGGTATAAAAAATTAATATTGAGCTAGGAGAAAATGGAAAACGCCAATCGATAGAGTTTTCCAAGTGGATGAAAGATATCTAGTCAGTTTTATGATAACATCAATATTTCTAAAATAACTGGTGAAAATCTTAATGGGGCAAATTGAACCACAACTCAGATTTTCTTCAAATTTTCCAATCTGATGTAGAATGATACCAAAAATTCATTATACTGATTTTTGCTCCGATATCTTTATTACTTTTTGAGTTACGGACAATTTACAATTATTTCATAAATATTGAAAGATTGGAATTTATAGGTTCTACATAATATAAAATGATGTGCTGAATCCAAATCTGAAAACCGTTTTTCTTTAGCTTTAATAATTTGCATGGAAATTGCAAGAAACTGCTTTAATCATTAGCTCCATCATTTCTATGGTAAAAAATAAAAATTGAAAATTTGTATTTTTTATTGCAGAAGTTAAGAGAAAACGTGATTTTAAAAAATTTATCTTAGTATTCTTGGATTAAAAGATTAATTGTTAAGATTAAAAATCACATTTATAGTCAAGGACTGTGTGTTTAATAATATGAAATTAAATTCTTATTATGATTCAAACGGTTCAAATTAGAACAAAATATAACTGAGATAAAGGATTTAAAATGACATTATCTTTAAGGGTTTGAATATACGAGTATAACTACCATTTTAATTTATTTTAACATAACAAATTCGTTACCCTTTTCGTTAAACTAATAAACCTTGAACTTGCAAATTCTCATCTCTAAAGTTTATAGTTTGCAAAATTAACACTTTTCTATAAAATTTCATGATGCAGATTACCTAATCAGTGACAATTTTATACCAGCATCAAAAATGCATTATTTCCGGTTGATGCAACAATATAATTGCATGTACACACGCTTATTTCAGCCCTGAATTCCAAAATCTGATTTGGTTTAGACTGATTCATAATATCAAATTAGTACGTCATTAGATATAATTACATAATAATATGTAAGAAGCGTAATAAATTTACAACGCGCTATCACATATTTGTTAAGTGGGTATATTGTAAATAAGGTTTCAGCACAGAATGTCATAATTCATCAACATGTATTAATTGATAAGATTCAAGCGTTTAAAACTTCCATTAGAGGTAGTTGTCTAGATTACGCGTTCAATTCGCAACGGGATTGTTCAAATCGTTAGTGCATTGTGCGTGATTTCCGAATTACGAATCTGCAGCAGCACACGCGTCCACCCGCCTGAAAATGGCCAGCAATCAACTGTTGGACGCCAATAAAGTCAAAAACGACTTTGAAGTTGAGGATACTGTGGGACGTAAATCCAACCGGACATTTTTATATATTGCTGCTTGTACAGGTAAATACAAAAATTAATTTAAAAAGAATTTTATTCAGTAATTATAGCTAATAACTAATAATCAATAAATATATTATATTACTCGCACCATAAACATAAATCAGTGTAAAAGTATTAGCTAATTCGTTATTTATCTTATCGATTCCATTCGAGGTCAATTATAATTGTGAATGTATTCAATTCGTGATCAGTTCATTAAATGTTTTTATAAATTATTGGGAATCATTACTTTTTAACTCTTGTTTTAGAGAATATTTTTCATTAACATTCAATTAATTTTGCTACAGATTTTATGATATTGATGATATTTAATAATATAAAACATTATTTACAGCTAATTTATTCGCTTTCTGCTGTGGAATTGCCTTTGGCTGGTCATCACCAATACTTCCAAAACTTCGAGAAAACATCGAATCTTCCCTCCCACATTCAATCACACCTGAAGATGAATCATGGATTGGTTCTCTGTTACCTTTGGGTGCCGCCATTGGTCCGTTCGCTGCAGGATTCTGCTCTGATCGATTTGGCCGCAAGAAAACCATCCTAATGTCTGTTGTGCCAATGCTCATCGCTTTTTTCACCTTCGCGTACGCTAACACCGTAGGATATTATTACGTGGGACGCTTTTTCTGTGGTCTAACAGTCGGTGGAATATTCACGGTGCTTCCTGTTTACATCGCTGAAATTGCCGAGGATGAAGTGCGCAGTTCTCTTGGCTCCTTCATGCAGTTATTCATCGTTGTTGGTCTTACCTTTTCCTATGCCACAGGTCCTTATATACCAATGGGCAACTACAATCTCATAGCATGTTTAATTCTTATTATTTCTTCCTTTGCCTTCTTTTTGTACATTCCGGAAACACCACATTATCATATTGCAAAGAATGAACTTAAACAAGCTGAGGATTCGCTGATGAAATTACGGTCAAAGAGTCGAGATGAAATAATGAGCGAGTTGACACTTATTAAAGAGAGTGTTCAAGGAGCAGGTGGAAAGCAAGGTGGATTTTCGGATATATTTGCATCGCAAGTAATTAAGAAAGCTTTAGGCCTCACTCTGTTGTTGATGGTTTATCAACAGTTTTGTGGAATTAACGTAGTGTTATTCTACACGGCGACCATCTTTGCGGCTACAGGAAGTTCCATCCCTCCAGATGTATCTACCATTATCATCGGCGTTGTGCAGATTATGGCTAGTGGAGTTACACCAATGATTGTGGATAAATACGGAAAACGATTCTTGTTGATTGTATCAGCACTAATGATGTGCATTGGTGAAGTAACGCTTGGATTTTATTTCTATTTGAAAGAGATTGGAAACAATTTGGAGTCCATTTCATGGCTGCCTATTACTTGTTTAGTGGTGTATATTGTTTTCTACAGTATTGGAATGGGTCCTTTGCCATGGGCTGTGATGGGAGAGTTATTTCCCACAGAAGTCAAATCAGCAGCTGCGACTGCCATTGCATCCAGTTGTTGGTTAATGGCCTTTTTACTCACGAAATTCTTTGGTAATGTCTCAGCGATCATTGGTATCGGCGGTTCATTTTGGATCTTCGCCGGATTTTGTGCTTTCGCTGTTTTCCAAATTTACAAATATTTACCGGAAACAAGCGGCAAAAGCTTACAACAAATTCAAGAGATTTTAGCAAAAGGAAAATAATATGCTATGCTTATATTAGTGCTTGTTAATATTTATTCCTATACAATTAGTGGCTGTTAATTAGTAAACAACAAAATCATAATTAAAATATGAATTGTTGTTAGTTAAAGATAAAACAAATTAAACCAAATGTACGGAATAGAATTTTATTCATACTTCATCATTTACTGGATACATGGCGCAACAACAAATCGTAAACAAATATAAATATATCTAACGCCATTTCGTATTCATAATAATCGTCGTAATAATGTATATACTTTCAATAATTGCCCTCGAAGACAACAAACAAAGTTATGAATATAGATTTTCTTTCGAATAGAATTTACAAACACAACAGTAGCTCGTTAAAAGGCATATCCGCCTGGTCTTTGACACTCACCAACGTACTAATAAATCTGCTCTTCTGCGATGCGTCCGTTAAATTGTTGTAAAAATCGCTGCCGGCAATGCAAAGAAACTTTCTATCTTCATACTCATAACGACCCATGCGTCGCTGTACATACGGAAAAAGATGACGCAAGTAGGTGTTATTACTGGCGGAGATGAAAAAACAAGTTAAACACCATGTCGCCATTCCAATCGAAAATGACTGTGTAAAGTTCGTCAAACTGAACACGACCCAATCCTGCAGTAGAGATAACTGAGATTGTTGTATAGCCGATTCAAAAATCTATATAAAAATAAACAGAACCAGAGATTAAAAAGCTTTTCATTTGCTGTGCATTGATTTGAAGTGTGCACTCACATTAAAAACGACTTTACACAATTGCATTGGATGCCGTTGATGTGGCGATAAGAATTCACTGATTACTTTCGTGAGTATATCAGAAGGAGAGAAGATATCGGTGAGAAGATTGGAAAGCGATACCGATAAGAGGTCCACTTCAAATGGATAACCCTTTTTGATCTTATCGAATATCGCTGAGATGTTCTCGATCGATTGCACCAAGTGATCGGGATTACTTGGGACAATTGCGCCATCTTCGGAATTATCTATGTGCTCAGAATATTCTGAAAAATTAAATTGCATAATACATGAAACAGGAATTTTCCAGATTGGTTAAGTGACTTTTCGAAATTTGCAAACCACGTAATAACAGAACAAGTATTTCACAATTGTATAAACAAAAGTTAGATAAATAGATAAGCTAATTAAATATAAAATAATGCAGTGTCACACAAAGTAACTTACCCATATATAAACATGTAAACAATAACTGCGCCGCCGGAAGTGAAATATTTGGAGAGTTTCGTTTAAATTGTGACGTCGCATACTTTATAACTTTATCACGAAATTGTGCCGGGATTCTTTTCTTTAGTAATAAACTTTCCACACCCTGAAATCAATCATTACGTATACAATTATTTACTTAATAAAAATAACCAATGTTGAGTACCTTTATCAATGGTAATAAAATAGAAGTATTTATATCCGGTGCACATAAGGTAGTTAATAAGGTCGTAAACACCGTATTTACAAAATGTTCCTCGATATGCGGCACGTCGACATTCTCAATTACATAAAACACCAATGCCCAGACTAATAGAGTATGCTCTTCGGATTGTTGCAGGACAGCATTATTAGATGAGATATTATAATCGATATAATCCACTGCTATAGGTAGAAACAATTGCATATCGTCGGAGATTCCACAAATCACCGTGTTATCCAGTACACACATTTGCAGCATGAATAATAATCCATGCAAACCGGCGATACGACCCGATAAGAATGTGTTTTTTAAACTTTGGGAGATTAACTTCTTCACATATTCCAAAACATCTTTATCCTATAATATAATTTCAAGTTTTAATATCAAAACCGTCAAATAATATCAAATATTAAAAACTTACAGGATTTAAAACAGCAGATGCTTTGCAAACAGCAATCACTAAATAAAGATGAACAATTTCATCCTCAATGGCGTGCGTTTTGGACAATTCCAAACAAGTCGCCAACATCCAGGTAAACTGCGTGCGATCGTTGAAAATATCCGATGATTGCACAATAGATTTGACAATTTCTTGCAACAGCCGTAACGGCACTGGTTCATCAGAAGACAGCCATTGTGAATACAAATCAAGTTGGAATTGCAAACACGAACGCAAATCCAATCCAGATTCTTTCAATTTCTCCACGCGCAGTGCACAAATTTCGCCGGCGTAACTTCTGTTCTCAGCGTCGGATTGTATAACACCCGCAGATATCCTCAAATATTCCAAAGACATCTGACTAAACGAGTAGGAACTGTCGATCTTTTCAATATTCAGTTTCTCAAAGACATTCAAATGTCTATGACAGGCCTTTAAGCAATCCGGATACTCAAGTAATTTTTGTGAAAATCTTTTATGCAGGGTTTTCAGTTTCCTAAAAGTTGGAGTGTTTTCTTTCACAGGCGTATCCCGAGGCACATGGATGTACGAAGAAACGCATTTGTTTCCCGGTTGTGGAGTGTACAAGGTTTGCAATAGAAAGGCTGTGATTGCTTGCACAACCAAACTGTTGGAATGTGTGATCGCGTTGATGTCTTCCATCTCACCAAGAGATGGATTCGCATTTAAAGCCGTCAGTAATGAAACCCACGTCTCCTCAAACTGTGTTCTTGAAGTCCAGCCTAATAATAATATTCTAAACAAAAAATATTAATTATTATTATGTAAACATTCCAATTATGCTTAAATTACCTGTAAATAAACTCTTCTAAAATATCCACTTCTTGCAGATACTCTAACGGTAAATTTGGAACTTGAGTGCGGAACGCCCCCGAAAGTTGGACAAACCAGCCGGATTTCCACGCCGTGGGCGGAGTTATAATATACGAATTGACTAACGGCAATCGCGCTAATGATATCACAATACTCATAATACTCTGCATTAAATAATTTGGAATTTCCACCGCGTTAAAATCTAATTTCTCCAGCCAACATACCAAAACACAAAGTTGGTGCACCGCCTGACCAGCAGGCAAGGTGTCAACGTTATTAAGCGCCTCCCTCAATGTGCCTATCGGCAGCGAGGGGAGTGGTTCCAAATCAGTAAGCAAAAAACTAACAATTTTAAATAAACTATTGATCGCCGAACACAACCACGTAACTTGCGTGTCAGGTGCTAAGTTATTACAGAGTTGATTATCTTTAAAAATTAAATCGGCACATCGCATGCACATACTTGTAAAGTTAACATTAAAACAATTACCAACCGAGGCGTCAATATTAAAAGAAACAATTTCTAAACAAATCACCGCGAAACGCGTAAAATCCTCCAAATTTGATTCGGGAATAGATAATTTCGAAAAACGAGAGGTGCACGCAATGTATTCACTGACACACGGAATTAAATCAATGAGAAATTGGAAGATTGATTCTTCTTCTAGAATTTCCGTTAGTCGATTGGAATATTTTCCTTCAGCGTGCGTTGTTTCTCTTCCATAAGGTCTATACACCTACATAATTCATGAGATTATTATTATTAATCAGAATTGGTTATGTTCCACAAGACTTACATGATGTGATTTTGGCACAACAGTTCGTAAGCTATTCACAGTCTTGGTGATAAACGCCGAAGATGCTTGCAATATCTCAGGAATATCCGCATCGTGGTCCAGGTGATTCACGCACCACGAAAAACAATCGTAAATAATCTTCTTATTGAAGTCTTTGTGATTCATGATTGTCCATAGTTCATCATAAGACAATTTGTTTAAAATTTCCGCATAACCAGTGGTTACATTCGTGCCCAAACACCATTGTTTAACTTGTGTGAGATACCAAGTTTTATCAATGTTTAGATTTTTAATATATTCTGCTTTTATCGAGCGTCTTTGGTCAAACTCCAGCGGACTAAAGTCGTAGAACTGGGAGGATAGCTTGTTTAAAAGACCAATTAATGTTTCATGCCTAAAAATTAATATTTTAGCATGTTGTATATTTCTTTTAAAGTATTCCTACCTTTTTACTAGTTTTAAAGAAACAAGTCGTTCTAAAATCAAACTCATTTCTTCTTTGGGTAGCTGCTTTTGTACTTCTTCGGCGCTAAGTGTTAAAAGAAATTCAACTTTTCGACTCGCTAAACTAGAAGCTTGCCTACTGATAGCTAAAATTTTGGAATCTAACACTTTCGGCAGGAGAAACTTCAACAGAGTGCCGGTGTGATCTTCGTGCACATTTTCCAAACACTTTAAAATCTTCGCTTTTGTTGAAATTGTCGCAATGTCTAAGCATTTGGAGTCAATTGCTTGGATGAGTAAACCACTCGCAGAGACATTTCTGTGGATTGAACCAAGCAATTCAAATATCGGTGGTTCTTCATGATTCTCCACAATTAATTGTATATTGTTCACTAGCATCCAGGACATTTGCTCACCATCTGATAAAATGTGCTCACTCTGCAAACATTTCAATTTTTTAAATTGGAAGATGTTTTCTATGAATATCTTACCAAATAATCGGCAAAAACAATTGAACCACCAACACGAACTATTTCCATATTAATGCAGTTTACTTTAGGTTCAACATTTGAAACTCTATAACATAAACAATGTTTTAAATGTAAATACATTAATTTATGTTTGATAACTTACAATTGAAGATCAATCCCATAATTATCAGTAATCTGAATGATATCAGCCCAGAATCTCCGATCGTTGTAATTCAACAAAGTCAAAATATAACACCATTGAAATGTTAATAATGGACACGTTGGTCGTAACTGCAAAAATGACTTATTCGTGTCGTCGAGAAAAACACCCTCAACACAATCTTCCATATCACCATTCAACAAACTTATACCAATCGTTGTTATTTTGTTATGTGTTCCTACAATAATTATTATAAGTAAAAAAAACTAAAAATATTCAAATTAAATCTTACCAGACTGAAATAAAAATAAACAATAATTCAAGAACCAATGCAATTGTTGAACAATATTCGTGCCTTCATCGTGTATCACATTCTGCACGCAATACTTAGCTGCAACTCCAATCGTCCTGAAAATATACTTCAACAAGATAACTTCCGGTGTAATTCCGTCGAATATCCCCGTTGTTTTCGACACATTTAGCGGATCATGCAGCACTTTAAACTTTTCAAAAATACAATGCGGTGGTATCTCCGACTGAACTTCTTCTATCTTCAATAATAACTTGTTTTCATTTAGCTGCGATGTAATCAAAAACAACAGATTAACTTTCCCCAGATAACGATCACCAGCAACCATGCTAATATCAATCGCTTCCTCAAACAGTGCGATGAATATATGACTGATGGGTTTGTAGACACTCGGATGTAGTGTGAATAATAAAAGCTTCGCAGCGTTCATGCAACCTGCACATTCTAACTCAATTCGATTGTTTCGTAACTGAGTCATGAAGGTGTCGAATATTTGCTTGGACCATCTCATCCATCTTTCTGTATTCTCACAATATTTGCTCTCCTTGAGAATTAGCACTAACAAGTTGATTATGTCTGTATATTCAATTAATTTTAACATCATGGAGACTAAAACTTCACGGGTGGTTTCCAGTTCTTTAAAATCAGATGTATTTGATTTGTTTCTCAAGAGAAAAACATCTTCAACGATAGGTTTAAGTGCTGGTATGCAATGAGTCTTCGGTGATTGACCACTCGCCATTAAACCATCACAAAGTTGTATTATTCTCGGGATAACAATAATGCTTTTCGTGTGTTGTTTACCATAAGATAAATGGACCAGAAATTGGAATATTTTCGGTATTAATTCACTAGCAAGACTATAAATACAAAACATACATTTAAATTGCATACACCATCTTGATAGTTGTAACTTGACTTACCCAATTTGCCCTTCCTCCATGTATTGAAACTGCTTCAAAACATAATCGATAAATACTTGTTCAGAATCCAACAAACAATAATTCACTCTAAACAAAACAAGTTGACTTAACAGCTGTAAGACATGCGCCTGCAACTTCGTATCACTCGTAACAGTATAATGTTTCAAGGATTTAATCACCATCGGTTCAAATATTCTGATGTAATTACCCAGTATTTTATCCATATTCTTATTGATGATCTTTTTATAGTCCTTTCTATGCACATACCCCATTACAATGCTATCTCCATCCATTTCATTCTTTGAAATATGATTAAACTTGCCGACGCAGTCAGACATATTCATGACTGGCACCTGAGCAATGTGATAGAAAAATCCGGATGCTTCAAGTTGTTCAGAAGTGTTTTTGTTTAAATATTTCACAAAAGCATCCGCATCTGAACAGATATTCGTGCCGAATAAACTTTTAAGTAGTTGACGTACGCATTGTACTGTTTTAGTCGGTTCCAGATTAAACGTCGACTTAAAATACTGTAATAATTCCTCTGCAATGCGTCCGGTTTCTGTTAAAGTAGCAATTTCTAATATTTGGCACATCGAGTATAAAACTGCCTTGAGAAATTTCAAAAAATTCTCGGAAGCCTCAGTATTCAATGTTATTTTGTAATTATTATACGCCACTTTTAAAATTTCATAGATTTTCATGTAATGTGGACTGTTTGAAAAGAATCCCATTCCGGTCGCTTTAGCATCCACTTTTTTCTCGTTGTCTTTATCAATTGCTTTGCCTGGGGATAAAACTCCAACGCCAAGATCACTCTTTCTTCTTTTTAAAGGCGAAATATTACTAGCTATCGGTATATTTGGTAAGACTGGCTTCGGTTGTAAGGTCGTATTCTCATCGATAACATGCGCATAGATGTTTAATATTTTCACTAGATGTACCAAGTATTCTTCGGATATAGCACCTAATTGTTTATCGGTAAACAAATCCCATAAATCTCCAGGTGTGTCTTGATTTAACTCTGCGGAAGGTTTGAGATTCTCTAACCATTTACCAGCAAAGAGATTACCGACTAATTTTATCAAATGAAGATGACAATTCGTATCGTATACTACAGTTGTGGTTGTTAATAAGTTGACGGTTAAACTCAGTAAATCCTTGGAACTGGTGAGAATCTCTTCGGAGATTTGAAGCGGGGTGGAGTTGCTTCGGGAAAACGCTGGTTTCTCCAAACGAATTGTAGAGTTTTTAAAACAATTCCACGCGTTTTTATAGACTGTTATCGGATAAGCATAACTTAGATTGCATAAAGTTTCAATACAACCCAACTAGAATTATATTCATCTTATTAATAATAAATTTTAAAATGAAGTTAATGCAATTACCGTATAATATTTAGTACTCTGTGTGAGTAGTTTTCGATATAGTTTGGAGATAATTCTCGAAAGAGACTTTTCCATTAATAAGTCCGCTTTTAGTGGCCCAGATTTATATGGAAATGGAAGATTTTCAACTTGTTGCCGCATTTTTATATTTGTTTCCAGACTGTTCTCTATTGTTAACGCAGAGTATTGATCACGATGTAAAATTGATTTGTAAGTTATTTTGGTTTCTTCGGTCAGATTTTGTTCAAAATATAATAATGGAATGATTCTAAAAATTATTTTACCATTACAGATTTGTTTAAATATTAATTTTTGAGCGCACAGTTTACGCACAGACGTTTAAAACCTTGCAAGCGCAAAAAAAAAGAGAAAAAGTATGTTTCACTTACTTGATAATAGCTGCAGATGTAGCATTCCTCACACGTTGGTCCTCGTCCTTCAGTAACTCCAACAGAATATTATGCATCACTTTATTTTGAAACTCTTTACTTTTTGTCACATGCTCCACTGTTACGTACGAGAACGTCGCGATTAGCTCAATTAATTTCACTCTTACTAACCAGTATGGATCCTGTGCCATTAGAGGCAAATAATTTAAAATTGGCACTACTTCCGCACTGTATTCAGACTCTAATAGAGGACTCAAGCAACACGTCAATGAAGTCAAACATTGACGAGTACAAGTTGAAGATTCATCCTGCAATCCCTATACAAACATATACGTTATACATACATTCAATCCCGTTCCTGTTATATTAAATTTAAGTTATTGAACATACCTTTAATAAAAGATGTATCAAATATTTGGTGTTCAGTAAATCATCATCGTAATCCGCAAAAGTTGCAATCCACGCGTCAAAGTCTCCAAAACTTTGCAATAAAACAGTACGAATAAAATTCGCAACTAAAACGCGTATCACACCGCGTATCTGCGGATCATCATGACATTCATACAACAAAATGTCTGATATTTTCTGAGAAGAAGTGCAATCTCCATCGATTGTTGGCGCGTTAGCTTTGGTGCAATTTCTATCCAAGTATTTGACTAGTGCGTGTGGGTAAACCTGAAGAATCGTCGAAATGCACGTAAGCGCCAGGTTTTAATGGAAACGCGGACAGTTGCCTCTGGTATAGTTGTGTTTTGCACGCCATTCAACAGAAATTGTTTGATAATCAGACGGGAACAAAATAGTAATGATACTTCATGGTCCAGAAAATCTCCAACATCAACATTCTATAAAATTACAAAAATATTATCAAAACTTGTATCCATTCCAAATTCAATTAGTTTGGTTAATAAATAAATAAAACTTACCAATCCAACAAACTCAACGTCACCAACAAAAGACTTCTCCTCCATTCGATGAGAAAAACTCTTTTCCGACGAATTCTCACTCAAAATCAACTTATCCATGTTATCTGCAATACTCTCACTCCTGAAACTATCCGCGTATTGATCATTGATAGTGCCCATGTGAATATTTCCATATTGCGTCTCCAGAATTGGCTCAGTACCCTCCGCATTCTTCGCATTGTGATCCACCGCATTGAAATTCAATTTCTCCTCATCTCCCTTGATATAATTCACATTAATCACCGACAGTTTCGACTCACCGATCCATTTCTCAATATCAGTCGTGGTAAAATCAGTCAAATCCGAGTCCAGCAACAAATTCTCTTCAGACTTCAAAGTAGTCGCCACACTCAGTTGACTAGGTGATCTTAATCGCATTCTCGAAGGATCAGCATGAAAGATGCGACTTTTACCGACGCCCGTCTTCTGCAATAGAATTATTTTCATATCAACGCTTAAATTGCTCAAGAGAATGTTGAGTGTCTCCAGAGATGAGTTGACAATATTGTGGTCTTTATGCATTGTATAATATAGACATAATTCGTAGATTTGTAGTAATCTGTCCGTAGATATGCAACTTTCGGCTACATTCCTTCCCCTGAAGTGGCTGTTCATCTTGTGCTTGGCTTCCGCTTCGTGGAAATGCGGTATTATTAGTTTTAGACAACTTAGCGCACCGAGAATCAATTGATTAGAGTGCGTATCATAAACTGGTATTAATAAATCTACAAATACATAATTTAAAATGCTGCAAATATAAAATATAAGTATAATACTTACCAAACAAATGGTTAAAAACATAACAAAGAAAAACAAACGGTGCACGATTATTGAGGCATACTGTCAGTATGCAACTGGCCGTCATCCTTCGAATAACAACTGATGGACTCTGCACATTATTCAAACAAGCTTTCAGTAGACCTTTAATATCATAATCCATTGTGAACGGCCCCAGTGAGCTCATAATTTGTGGCAGACTAGTTGACAATGTTTCATGCACTGACTCCTCATTTCTTTCAATGACTTTAATTAATGCTGGAATGATATTCGTGACGTAGACCTTTCCCTTTTGCGGTCGTATATGATGTGCTAAGAGTGCAAATCTCCACAGGGCAGCTCTAAGAGACCTGGCTGAACCATTTTGTTTGATTCCTTTGTGCAATTCAATTTGGATCTTGGAAATACTGCCATTGTTCATTCCCTTTGGAAAATAAAACATAAATCTAATTAAGACAAGAGTTTTTAAATCAATATTCACAAGAAAACATAACAAATCACTCAATACATTTTATTTAAAGCTTTCGGCATTTCTGAACAAGAAATTAATTTGTCAAGCTGGTATTGGTGCATAAAACATTAAAAAACTACAAAACGTTGTTTTTTAATAGTCAAATCTTGATTTTAGGCATGCTCAGCAAAGTTAATCAGCTCTATTACTTATTTTCCATTCAATACATTAACCTCATCTCTTACCCTGATAATTTTGTTTAAACATTCATCAGCTATCATCCGTATATCCGACTCTTGATCATCACATAGTTGCAGAAGTGTATCAATAGTACAATTTAAAAGATTGCTGAAGTTCTTGGAGACTTTTAATGAAGGATTTTGAATTGCTTCAACAATAACATTGCAATGTTGAACCTTTTCTTTTTTCCTGCAAGAGATTCAAATAAACGATGTAGTTGTTATCAATTGTTGTAAATCACAATACAATTAAAAATAGGTAAACTTACTTTTGCAAAACATCACCACCTGATGATTGGTTCGCGTTTATCAGGTGTTTCAGGGACTCCAACGATTTTAACAGCTTCTCTTGCGTTGCCATTATGGACAAATCACAAGCCGTGTATTAGATTTTCACACTTGCATTGCAATTAGATTGATTGTAATCATAGAATCACCGGATATCAAGGCGTGCAGGATTGCTGTAATAAACACACCACAGAACGTACGCACTGTTTACTTCGGTGACAGATCAGATGTCGATATTTTCTTGCTGAAGATCATATATACAACTGGATTCTCATTAAGAAACTAAACCATCGGATTACATTAATAGCTTGGAATTATTAAATAAAAAATTTCTATAATTAAAAATAAGTTTATTACAATGTTATCTATTTTATTTTAGTAGGATTACACAGTTATACTCTTTTTCCCCTTTTCACTTTTACTTAACTATAGGCAACACAAGTAACACAACAGTTTTCACCTCGAGGGCATCGTCAGTAAACACTTTAATTTTATTTATTGTTTCTTTGTTTTATATTATGTATCTGGTTATATTAATACATAAGAGTAAATAATTTTCTATTATACACAAAGTATAGATAGTATAAATCGTAGGAGAGTCATTCTTGCATAAAATTGTTAGTATTCTAATTCTTTATCATATTCATGAATGAGTTTTATGATTTTGATATGTGAAAGTTTTCAAAAAATTGCATTTTTGTGTTTTAATTTCTGGGGGTTTTAGGGCTCTAGGAATTGAACGGGACCTTGCAGGAGACCCATTCCCGCATCAATCTGTAAGTATTGTAATTCGCTTTTCTATTCATTATTTAGTTTTGAAATTATCACATGGAAAAGCCATAAAAATTGCATTTTTATGTTTCGATGCACTGATTTCTGTTTGTTTTAGGGCCGTAGAAATTGAACGGGAACTCGCAGGAGGGTCATATTCGCATCAAATTGTAAGTATTGTAATTCTGTATCATCTCTATGACCTAGTTTTGCAATTTTCTCACGGGAAAGTCATAAAAATTTCATTTTGCGTTTCGAGGCACTGATTTCTGTTTGTTTTAGGGCCGTAGAAATTGAACGGGAACTCGCAGGAGGGTCATTTTTGCATCAAATTGTAAGTATTGTAATTCTGTATCATCTCTATGACCTAGTTTTGCAATTTTCTCACGGGAAAGCCATAAAAATTACATTTTTGTGTTTCGAAGCACTGATTTCTGTTTGTTTTAGGGCTGTAGAAATTGAACGGGAATTTGCAGGAGGCTCATTATTGCATCACACTGTAAGTATTGCCATTCTGTATTATCTCTATGACCTAGTTTTGCCATTTTCTCATGGGAAAGACATAAAAATTGCATTTTTGTGTTTCGAGGCACTGATTTCTGTTTGTTTTAGGGCTGTAGAAGTTGAACGGGAACTTGCAGGTGGGTCATTTTTGCATCAAATTGTAAGTATTGTAATTCTGTATCATATCTCTGATCTAGTTTTGCAATTATCTCACGGGAAAGCCATAAAAATTGCATTTTCGTGTTTCGAGGCACTGATTTCTGTTTGTTTTAGGGCTGTAGCAGTTGAACGGGTACTTGCGGAGTGTCATTATTGCATCAAACTGTAAGTATTGCCATTCTGTATTATCTCTATGACCAAGTTTTGCGATTTTCTCACGGGAAAGCCATAAAAATTGCATTTTCGTGTTTCGAGGTACTGATTTCTGTTTGTTTTAGGGCTGTAGCAGTTGAACGGGAACTTGCAGGTGGGTCATTTTTACATCAAATTGGAAGTATTGTAATTCTGTATCATCTCTCTGACTTAGTTTTGCAATTTTCTCACGGGAAAGCCATAAAAAAGGCATTTTTATGTTTCGAGGCACTGATTTCTGTTTGTTTTAAGGCGGTAGAAATTGAACGGGAACTCGCAGGAGGGTCATTTTCTCATCAAACTGTAAGAATTACCATTCTGTATTATCTCTATGACCAAGTTTTGCGATTTTCTCACGGGAAAGCCATAAAAATTGCATTTTCGTGTTTCGAGGCACTGATTTCTGTTTGTTTTAGGGCTGTAGCAGTTGAACGGGAACTTGCAGGTGGGTCATTTTTGCATCAAATTGGAAGTATTGCCATTCTGTATTATCTCTATGACCAAGTTTTGCGATTTTCTCACGGGAAAGCCATAAAAAAGGCATTTTTATGTTTTGAGGCACTGATTTCTGTTTGTATTAGGGCGGTAGAAATTGAACGGGAACTCGCAGGAGGGTCATTTTCTCACCAAATTGTAAGTATTGTAATTCTGTATCATCTCTCTGACCTAGTTTTGCAATTATCTCACGGGAAAGCTATAAAAATTGCATTTTTGTGTTTCGAGACACAATTTTTCTTGTTTTAGGGCGGTAGAAATTGAACGGGAACTCGCAGGAGGGTCATTTTCTCACCAAATTGTAAGTATTGTAATTCTGTATCATCTCTATGACCTAGTTATGCAAGTTTCTCACGGGAAAGCCATAAAAATTACATTTTTGTGTTTCGAAGCACTGATTTCTGTTTGTTTTAGGGCTGTAGAAATTGAACGGGAACTTGCAGGAGGCTCATTATTGCATCACACTGTAAGTATTGCCATTCTGTATTATCTCTATGACCTAGTTTTGCCATTTTCTCATGGGAAAGCCATAAAAATTGCATTTTTGTGTTTCGAGGCACTGATTTCTGTTTGTTTTAGGGCTGTAGAAGTTGAACGGGAACTTGCAGGTGGGTCATTTTTGCATCAAATTGTAAGTATTGTAATTCTGTATCATATCTCTGACCTAGTTTTGCAATTATCTCACGGGAAAGCCATAAAAATTGCATTTTCGTGTTTCGAGGCACTGATTTCTGTTTGTTTTAGGGCTGTAGCAGTTGAACGGGAACTTGCGGAGTGTCATTATTGCATCAAACTGTAAGTATTGCCATTCTGTATTATCTCTATGACCAAGTTTTGCGATTTTCTCACGGGAAAGCCATAAAAATTGCATTTTCGTGTTTCGAGGCACTGATTTCTGTTTGTTTTAGGGCTGTAGCAGTTGAACGGGAACTTGCAGGTGGGTCATTTTTGCATCAAATTGGAAGTATTGCCATTCTGTATTATCTCAATGACCAAGTTTTGCGATTTTCTCACGGGAAAGCCATAAAAATTGCATTTTCGTGTTTGGAGGCACTGATTTCTGTTTGTTTTAGGGCTGTAGAAGTTGAACGGGAACTCGCAGGTGGGTCATTTTTGCATCAAATTGTAAGTGTTGTAATTCTGTATCATCTCTCTGGCCTAGTTTTGCAATTTTCTCACGGGAAAGTCATAAAAATTGCATTTATGTGTTTCGAGGCACTGATTTCTGTTTGTTTCAGGGCTGTAGAAATTGAACGGGAACTTGCAGGAGGGTCATTATTGCAACAAACTGTAAGTATTGTAATTCTGTATCATCTCTATGACTTAGTTTTGCAATTTTTTCACGGGAAAGCCATAAAAACTGCATTTTGTGTTTCGAGGCACTGATTTTTGTTTGTTTTTGGGCTTTAGAAATTGAACGGGAACTTGCAGGAGGGTCATTATTGCATCAAACTGTAAATACTGCCATTCTGTATCATCTTTATGTCTTAGTTTTGCAATTTTCTCACGGGAAAGCCATAAAAACTGCATTTTTGTGTTTCGCGACATTATTTTTGCTGGTTTTAGGACTTTTGCACTTGAGTCTGACACTGTCGACGGACCATTCTTGCATCAGATTGTAAGTATTTAATTTCTTTATCATTTTCCTAAATAACTTTTGTGATTATTTCACAAATTGACCCCCAAAAATTCAATTTTTATGTTCGAAGGACTAATTTTTGCTGGTTTTAGGGATTTTGCACCCGAAGTCGACATCGTAGCAGAACCATTCTTGCCTCAGATTGTAAGTATTTAATTTCTTTATCATTTTCATACATTGCTTTTATGATTTGGCTGGTTTTCGGGGTTTAGCACATGAACGCGTCATCCGCGTAATATCAGCGAGGTCCCTAAAGATGTAAAATTTAATTCTTCATGGCGTTATATTCTAATGACGTAGGAGATGTACCTGTAGAACGTGTATTGTTGGATAAATTGTACATTTCGTACGTTGTTATGTCGATAACTTGTAACTGTTTGTTTATATTTAGTCATTTTGAATAGTTTTTGGATTATATATAACATGGATTGTGTTTTATTAATTTTCGTTGGAGTGAGTGAGATAGAAATACCAGGGTGAGGTGATAGCAGGTGAGTTAGAATAAGAGAGCAATACTCTAAGTTTCATGTTCAATCCATGTTCTTTATATGATCTGCAGAACTTTCCACACTTTGTCTATGCTTTCAGTTCGGCCTTGTCTTGCGCAGCACGCTGTGCGCTGCCATTTGAAATTTGAACCGTACCGCACCGGTCGCCGTGTGTCGTCGGGTTCAAGTGACAATTCTCTATACTGCTCAGTACATCTTGCGCTGGCGTATTCGCTGCTGTTTTTTCCTGTTTAGTGTGTCGGTGGTACGCAGTTGTGCTGTGTGTACGTGTTCTCTTTCTTCTCCGCCACTGTTCGTCGCGACTGTTAGTATTTCGGGCGATTTTAATACGGTGCTAGCCTTATAATTGTTTAGTCGTCAATTGCTATCAACTACTGAACAAGTGATTTATCTCGAATCGACTCGAGACTTAAGACACCACGTGCGCGTGTGTAAGCCATCAGCCGCCGGCCGTCGGATCTCTTACGTTGGGGTACGGATTCCAATTGGATTTATAGGCCAAAATGGTATTGATAATTAGTGCAAAAGTTATACAGTGAGTAGTAGCATCAATTCTACTAACAATTCTACTTTATATGTAACGTTTGATAAGAGAGCGTTGTGGCTCGATGGTATGTAGAATATGCCATAGATCGTACATACGTTCGTTTAATTAAAAAAGAAAGAGGAATGTATTGTTAAATATAATTAATAAAATTCAATTTAAAATTAAAATCACATTCATATTGTTTTTGTGATGTCCTCTTTGTCGTTTTCAGGATATGCGTGTTAAATCATATTTCATATGAAGCTTATGTGAGCGCAACATTGCTAAGGCTTGTGTGTTTTTAAAAAGTTGAATAAAGTAGAAACATAAATAGAAGAATCAAATAACAATGTTGAAGACACTCGGTGGTCGAGTGGAGACGTGCACCTGCTGGCATGCTAGCAGACACGGATCGAATCTCAGTT